ATCCATCCTTTTAGCCTGCATGTGAGGGTGGCTGCTGGAAAACAGGAGGCATTTTTTCCATTACTCAGCACATTCAGGTCAGTATCAGTGGCCTATGAAATAGAAACCAGCTAAGAATTGGCTAATGTTTTTCCAGCTAACAATAGAACCATTTTAGCCAGTATTTGCAATTTTCACAGGGTGAGCTGCTTGCCAAATTCTGGCACTCCTTGTCTGTTTGGGAAAAGTCCAGAGAGTAGTTGGTAATTAATTTGCTAGGAAGTGTTCTGGTTTGTTTCTGTGTTACAGATTCAATCATACATTTCTAAATAGCCTCTGTAAGGCTGAGGGGGAAAAAAAAAAGTAAGCTTATGCTTTCTCCAACTTGAAATAATACAGAAGAAAATTTATGTAATAATGAACTTCCAAGGTTTAAATAGTGCAGACTGTGTTGGGAGAGACTGCTGCACTGAGTTACGTATTGATCGGTGATGACTCCCCCAGCAAACACTGGGTGCTTCCTGATTGCAAAACACAACATGCGATTTACTATCTGATGATGATGAGAGGAGGCAGTTAAAAACTTTCTCTAAAACTTTCTCTGTTAGGCTAACTTAACAGAGTTACTAAAATGCTTGCGATTGTTTAGTTTTTAAAATAAAACAAAATGAAATAAACCACACACACGCACAATCCCAGAATGGAGGACCAAAACTTTGGCCTACAGGACTCTGTCCAGAAACAGGCAGAGGTGGCTAGTTTTGAAAGCTGTTCCTAAAGAGAGGGGATTAAGTGCTCCAGGAAGAGTCAACAACAGCCAGAAGGATTTCTTAAAATCAGAGCTGGAAGGAGCCTCCCAACTCTAGGAAAGGAAGTTCAGGAGAAAAACAAACGAACAACCCCCCCCTCCCGCGCGCACGCACACACACACACACACACACACACACACACACACACACACACAAAACCAACTACAGGTTCCACAATTGACTAAGGATCAAGCAGAGCAAGGTGCTTAGCCCAGCCCCTGCCTGGCACCAATGCTGGGGCAGAAATTCTGGGCATTCACTGTGACTCCGTAAGGAACCACAGGACCAAAGTACAAGTCAGGATGAGCCCAGGAAAAAGACAACTTAGATCAGTCTTCAGGTGAGTCTGGAGGCCTCATTTCAGAACATCTAATGCTGGGAAATAGGTGATAGTGTCACTGATCAGCAGATAATTAAAACAACCAGCTGGAGTTTAAAACAATCACTTTTAGGATTCTTGTTTGTGGGTAAAGAGAAATACTCATGAAAATTAAAGAGATTATAAAACAAAAAGGGATAAAATAAGAACAAATGAATACAAAAAGAAACTGCAAAGTGAGATCATTAAAAAAAAATAACAGAAGCAGCTCAGTGGTAGAGTACTTGTCTAGATATCAGAGTCCTGGGGTTTAATTCCAAGGGCTAAAAAATGAGCACACAAACAAAAAACATGAATATATGAAACGTTGATTGGATACCAGTTAAGACAGAGTTAGTAAACTGAAAGAACACAGACAGAAACCTTAGGAAGGGCAGTTCTGAGACATGGAAAACAGATTGAATGAGTTCTACCAGTATGAGCATCCAGAAGAGGGGCTGGGGATTTAGCTCAGCAGCATAAGTGCCTGCCTGGCAAGCATGAGGTCATGAGTTTGATCCCTGATATCAAACCAAAACAAAACAACAAAAAGAAGAGGGTGAGAAAAAGGTTGGGAAGGGCCTAGAATCAAAGACAAAGGTCTCAGGAGGCACATATCCAGTGGTAGGCAGCATAACTATATATCAATCAGCATCAGAAATACTATAGTGGAATTTCACAACTAGGACACAAAAAAGATAGGTTTCCTTCATTCAAATGGCAGTTAGATTGGCAGCAACCTCAGCAGCAGCCAGTGATTAATATCTTAAAAACTGTAATAAAAAATAGCTGTCAACAAAGAACACTGCACCTGCTAAACAATCATTCAAGAATTTGCTCAAAATAAAGACTAAATATATTCATACATTTTAGAAAGAATTGTCCAAAAACACTTGCCAAAAGAACTACCATAGGAGATAGTTTAGCTGGATAAAAAGTCAGCACTGGAGAATGGCAAAATATGTTCATACATATAATTAGTTATTGACTACAAAATTAATTTAGTATTTTTAAAAAGTGAAACAAAAACTTGAGGCAATGGTAAGCAAGAAATGGGATCAAATGGTTAGAAGATGCTGTTTTGTTAGAAATGCAGTGTTGTGCTGACATCTGCCACTCCACTCAGAGCCACTGTCCACCCTGTCCTCTTGCTTTGGCCCCCACTGCAGCTCTGCCTCCCCTGGGCCTCATTACAGTCCCAGCACTGCTGTTCTTGGAGTGAACATACACCTTCTCTACATTGTGTAAATGTCCCCAGTTGGGCAATATTTCAGCTACAAACCTATACTGCCTTTTTAGATAAGGCAGTCTGATTTGGAGGAAAGAGCCAGAAGTATTCCAAGGCCTTGAGATCTAAACAAGATCTTCCAATCAAGATCTTCTAACATTTCTCTGGGTACACTTTAGTGACTCCACTGGGCCCATTTTCTGCCTTTTGTCAAGCAATTTCTATTGCAGTCACACTTTTTGTTGCTGATCTGCAAATCACCTAGAAGTTGTATGTGCAGTTTCCAAATATCCTTCTATTTGCATGTGAGTTCCAAATATCCTGCAGGTTCCCCTTGGCTGTTTTGTCAACCTACAACCAAACAGAAAAGTACTGTGGGTAATACAGTTGATAACACCTAGGTAGTACAGATGTGATACAGGAAAGAAGTGTTCATGATTAGTTGCTCAGAGGTCACCCAGCCACAAGCACATCAGATTTGCTCATTAGAGTCCATATGTCTCTATTGAGTTTTCTAGGCTTCATCTCTTGCTTGTCTGAGGGTATTTTCCTCTAACCTATTTTCCATTCCTACCAATTCCTCCTTCACTTCTAAACAATTTGCTAGTTAACCAATCTGTTATTTTCTGTTGTTTTTCAGTTCTAGACTCTCACTTTGGTTCTTGAGTTCCAGTATTATTCTTGCTTTTACTGCCTTAAAGATGTTCAGTATAATTATCTTAAGATAATTGTTAAGACATACTTAAGATATCAAGTATAATTATCTTAAGATAATGCTTGCTGACTTCATTATCTTAACTTCCCATGGGTCAGTGTTTGGTTTCTATGTCTTTTTCTATACTTTCTCCCTAGTACTAGAGATTGAACCCAGGGCTTTCATATTGCGCTATATAACCCAGCTCTTTTTTATTTTTTATTTTGAGACAGGGACTCCCTAAGTCACTAAGTTTTCCAGACTGGATTTGAATTTGGGATTTTTCTGCCTCAGTCTCCGAGACTGCTGGTTTTACAGGCATGCACCATCATGTCCAATATATGGTTTCTCTGAATCATGTGCCCTTTATGTGGGCACATGTAATGCATGTATGTATGCAATGTACGTGTCTTTGTATGACACATACATTAGGAAACTGTGGCTTACTTAAGATTTCAGGTGATACATCCTTCCTCTTCCATAAAGCAGCGAGGTAACACCATACTAACTCAGTGCAATCAATATTTGATAAGATCTGTAGCAATCGAATCTTCGGTCCCCAAAAGGTCTAGTCTTTTTTCCAATTCACCCCTTACCTAAAGTCCAGTGTTTCTGGGCCCCTCCTCACCGTCTCGGGGTTTTCCAGCTCCTCCTTTTCCTTGGCAGTCTCAGAATAAAACTTACCCTGTGCTCATGGTCTGTTAAGAGCTTTACTCAGTAGCTCAGCCTTCCAGTGTTCCAGATGGGCAGTTGCTCATGGAGAAACACACCATAACCAAGCTTGAACTTCTATAATTTTTTTGTCCCTGTCCCAGTTATTGACTCCTTTGTTAGCTACAATGCGGATGGATTGATTCTCTTTTCCTCTCTTTTCTTTTTGTTTGTTTGTTTGTTTTGCAGTGATGGGGTTCAAAACCCTGAGCGTCCCACATGGTGGGTTAAGTGCACTACCATGGAGCTGCAATCCCAAGGCCAGTGCTTTTGCTTTTTGTGTGTTCAGGCTTTCCGGTTTCAGGGGAAGGATGGGTCTCAAAGGCCTTGCTTGCCCTTACAGAGAAAAACAGAGTGATCATATCCTTCAGTGACTCATGTGGCTAACCCATTTGGTTATCTGCTTTTCTTTCAGGTATTGTGTGGCTTCAGGATGTGTCACCTCATTACACCATGCTCCCAAGACCCCTTGTCTTGCTGGCTGACTGTAGAAATGCCCTGTTGAGATACGAGGGCACAAGTGGCAGCTCTGGGAAGTCCGGACCCGCGGCAGCAGATATCCGCAGATCTCCCCTCCGCAGTCTGCAAGGCAAGGTCACCAGGTTCCACCAGCGCAGGCGTCGGAGTGGCCGGCTGGAGGAGTCCAGCCTGGCAGCCCAAAGGAATACTGGGCCCAAGCTGCCTGTGGGAAGGGTGCTGTCTCACCGGAAAGGCACAGCGCACCGCCTTAGCGGGACAGTTGCCCTGTGGCCTCAGAAAGACTGGCCACTTAATAAGGGTAGCCACACACACCACTGGGAAGATCGGCAGAACTGAACGGGGGCAATGTCAGACGCCTAGAGCCTTTCGCAATGGATGCGCTCGGCCAGTGCGCGGACTGCTTGGTGCGGTCTTCGCAAAAGGCGGTTCTGTTCTTAAGCTCTCGCCACCTCTTATCCTGCCCAATCCGCCTGCTTAGCCTTCCACACTTTATATGATACTCTCTCGTCTGTACACCTCTGCGAGACAGAAACGTCCAAATGCGCATCTGCACCACAGCACTGAGTCCTCCGCGGAATGGTCCCCACGGGCCTCCGTAAGGCGCCGTCTCCATGGCGACCACTGTGTCCGCGAGGCCTCCATTGTTAGGTGGTGTCTGCGTTTCCCTGCAGCAGGGCTGTGGGTGTACAAGTGGGCGGGGGAGGGGGGAGAGCCCCCCAGGTATGATAGGCGCGAGCCAGGGAATCCGTGTCTGTGTGTGTGTGTGCGCGCGTGTGTGTAGGGGGCGTCCTTGGACTGTGGGTTGGGCACGGGACCCGGATCACCCGGCTAAAGGGCGGAACACGGTGCACAGTTTGTGGGGCTTGGGTGCGCGGTGTCTCGTTGCTGGCCGGCTGGGTGAGGCTGCGCTTTAGCTCACGCCTGCGGCAAAGAACTTCTACCAGGCTAGGAATTTGAAGGCCAAACTTCGAGTCTCACCCAGCTGGGCCAGATGGGAAAATCAAGTCAGGGGGCGCCAGGATGTTACAGGCAGCAGGATGCGTGCAGTCCTCCGGTTTCACTCTTACCTGTCCAGGGGTTTGTAGCAGAGGGAAGCCCTTCTTTGTCTTCGAGTTCCAAGAAAACCACTCACCATACAAAGTCCCAGCGTTCCCGCGGCCTGGGACAGGTCCTTTTCTCGTCCTGCAGACCGAAGCAGCTCATTAGCTGTGTGCCCTTGGGAAGGTTGCTTGACTGACTGGAACTCTTCCTCCCTAAACAGGAGCGAAGTGTACTCAAAAACCAGTCACTGGGGCGTCCAATGGACGAATACATGTAAAAGCTGCAGCAGCATTGCTGGACAAAGTGAGATTATGAGTGGAAGTGTGCCTCAGCAGTTAAGGTTTTGGTTAAAAGTTAAAATCTTGGAATTCCATGATGCAAAAAGTGTGTGTGTGTGCGTGCGTGTGTGTTATTTGGTTTTTAGATGAGGTCTCGCTAAACTGCCCAGGCTCTCCTCAAACACTCATTCCTCCTGCTTCAACCTCCCAAAAAACTGAGATTACAGGCATATGCTATCATTCTCAGCTAGGAGCAGAGAATTTTAATCTGAGTGTACATTATTGTATTTTACAAGTTCAAAAGTCAAATTTATGAGACTTTATTTTAAATGATGAGGGTTTTTTCTAAAAAAAAAAAAAAAAAAAAGGCAAGTTAAATCACTGCAGATGTGCCAGAGTTGCTCTGTTTGGGTGTGTGGTTGTGTCAATGTAATTCACCATTCTCCTCCATCTCCCTTTCTGTTTCTAGATGACTTCTGACTAAGGAGGATGAGTTGTAGCCACTGGAGGGTGACAGATGGAGGGAAGCTGCGACTGTGAAGCTCCCGCAGAAGCTGCTGATGATTCTAGGCCGAATGCCGGACAATCCAGCAGCTTGCCAGCCTCCATCTCCAGAGATGTTCACAAGAATAATAGTAAGGAGATCATCGTTTCATCTTCATCAACTTTAGACTTGAGTGAAAGTGGTCTGCGCCACCTGGAAAAGATCTTTATAGTCCCCAACCTTCAAGTAAGTGGTCATTTTCTTGGGAGATGTTAGTAGACAGATCCTACATTGACAGAAGTGAAAACTTCAGCACTGAACTTTTATTTGTAGGCTTTTTCTCTTTACAGGAGATTCCAGAATGAGACAGAAGGAGTGTTAATTTGGGTTTCACAACAAAGAGAAATTGAGATAAAGGAACCAGCTGACAGAAATAGTAGATCTGCCTAGGGAGGGAGCCAGTACTCCCCCTTGCATGTTGTCTGTCTTCAAGGGAATGTCTAGGGAACCAGAAACAATAACAAAATTATGCAGCAGAGACAATTATCCAAACACCAGTGGTCTCTTACACATAATCTTTTAAAAGTCCAGATAATACTAAAACACTTAAAAACTGTTTCTCTTGCTGTTGTCTACTTTGTTATTACTCCACACTCGATTTCCTTTGTGCCAGGCAACTTCTGCAGGGTCGCTAGCCAATACTGTCTTGTTCTTGTGTTTTTGGAGTACCCTTAGAGTACTGTGTTGATGGGAGATAAAACAGGATGCTTCCCAAGCAATGTCTGTCAGGCCCCAGAATCACAGAATTTTCTTAAACCTCACTTGATTTCTTCTGGATTCTGGGAATGATGATAGTTGTATGAATTATTATAAAATGAAATAATTTATATGAGGACAGTGTCTGAAACAGTTGTGATGTTGGTTGACATTTCTGTAGTTTTACAAAACCTGCGTTTTTGGGGCTGGGGATTTAGCTCAGCGGCATAAGCACCTACCTTGTAAGCATGTGGTCGTGAGTTTGATACCCGGTACGGGTGAAAAAAAAACAAACCTGCCTTTTTGGATTTTAAGTGGCTGTTTACACTACTAAAGTCAACTATCACCTGGTTATATTTTCCCTGTTTTTGCTGACAGAGCCATAACTGGTCTTACTATTTCTTTCCTTAGCACAGGCCTCAAGGGGTACATTACTGGCCTCATGAGGGCTCCTCTTATGCAAGTATCACTTATAATGAAATGAATGTTCTCAACTCCAACTGAGGAACACAGCCAAGCTACTAGGTTTATGTTGCCTTTGTGCATACAGAATTTCCTAACTATTTATATCTTTTGGAAGACACATGTCATTATGAATTTTGTTACTATGACAACAAGTCAGAGGTAGCCACCCAAAGTTGTGGACAGTTAGGGGTTGTGAACACTGGCGGCAATCCCTGGAGTGAGTGATAGCTCTTCTAAGAATGCTTATATTCAGGGAGCCAAAGAGTATCCTCTACCTTCACATTCCAGGACCTATGAGGAAGGACAGAGGCAACAGAGTACACTGTTCCATCCTACCAGCTTCAAATGCAGGGCAGTGCCTGCTTTCCCAGGATGCTGGGGAAGGAGAAAGCGTTTTCTTGTCTCTCTGAGATTCCTTTTACCAGCTTTCAGGAGGACCTGGGTTTCAAGTTGAGCACTAGAATTAGTTGGCAGGAGAGAAAAGAGCAGACCTGAGAGGCTTAATACCTTCACTCCAACAGAAAGCCAAGAAGACACATGCACAGGTGTGTGTATGTGTCCTTGTGTGATTGGAGGTATGCACAAGTATGTGCATGTAAGTGTGCATCCTCATGTACCTGGAGGTAAGTACTGGGTACCTGTAAGGGCCAGCATGCTTTTCAGAGACAGTGCTATCTCCCAGCAGTCAGAAACTGGCAATTTCTTAATACAGATATATTATTCTCAGTGAACATATAGGCAGTGAAATTTTTATATGCAGTGTTTCTCAGAAGGCTGTAAATTATTTGAGTTTGAAAGATGGGTTTGGAGGTAGAATTAGGTGTGAAATTGTGACAGGAAAGGAACTTCCTGGTAGTTCTGTGAAACAGAACAACCATAAACAATAGCATAATGATAATTACTGACCCTTACATACTTGTCTGCTGCTACCATGCAAGGTAGGTCCTGTACTCTGATCCCCAATGAACATGCTGGGGATCAGAGAGGTTCAGGAACGTACACAAGCTCACACAGTTTATAGGTTTCAAAACCTAGATTAAAACCTGGAAAGTCTGGCTTCAAGGTCAGTGCTCCAAGCATCTTTTTGGGCCTCTCAGTAAGTATAGGCATAGATTTAGATAAATAAATAAGTATGTATGCATATTAATATGTACAACATGAAAAAACAGTATCAATGAAAGTAGACAATTACCTGTAATCTAGCCATGCTATGATTATAAAATTATATATATGATATGCCCCTTTTATACAGAAATATTAAATAGAAAAGCTTAGAAATAGATAATTCATATTGTAATGACTTACAGTATATTGTTATACTCATTCTGTTTTACTGTTTTTGTTAACCTTTTAGTTCTTAATTTCTTATTGTTCCTAATTTAGAATTTAAACCTTCTGATAGAGATGTACATATACGGAAAAGAAACAGGGCATATTCAGTACTATCTAAGGCTTCAGACATCCACTGGGGCCCTTGGAATGTATCCTTCTGGATAAATGGGGATAATTGTATATAGTGTGTGTATATATATATATTCTGTATACATGCAGTTGATCTACTTTCTCTTATTTATGATGATGACTTAAAAATTTCACTAAGTTAATATATTAAACTGTTCCTGAAATGATGGTTCCTGAGATGATTTTTTGTGACTGTGGTTCATAAACAATGCCGCAGCAAATATCTTAGTGCCTCTGACATGGAGTTGCCTCTTAATTATTAACCTTGGGTGAATCCCTCAGACCAGACACGGCTCTTGCATTAACTCCCTCAGCAGAAAGTTTACTGGGTCTGCTGAAAGATATGACCTTGAATGTGAGACCCAAGAAGACGAAGAATTACTTTTAAGATCATTTGGGTGAAAAATGATGTCAAACAATATTTGTTAGAGGAATTGATGTGCTTTGGGGAGCACATGAACCATTTAGGAAGTTGATCTCAGCTTTGAAAATGGCTCCTTCTAATTCTTGGTCCAACTGTTTAAATTCTTAAGGGTAAAATATTATTTTTTAATTGAAATGTATGGTTGTACTTGTTGGTAGTTCCTTTGGAAGTGCTTTTTTGAAAACGTCACATTTTAACATGCAGTTAGTTGACAGAACATTCTCTCTTCTTTGCTCTGGAAGCATTTGCATCTTCAGAGGAATGCCCTCTGCATGATTCCTAAAGATTTCTTTCAGTTACTGCCAAACCTGACTTGGCTCGACCTCCGGTATAATAAAATTAAGGCACTTCCTTCTGGGATTGGATCTCACAAGTAAGTTGTACATTTATATACCAGATTTCTTTAAAAATTATCTTTTAAAAATGTATAAGTGCCTGTTCTTTTGCAGTCTGGCTTGTACTCCTTAGTGAGTTTTTACTTTAAAATAGAAGCACTGAATAGTTTTTTAGTACAGCTTAGAGGTACCAAATACACTTAGCCATGACTATAACAGGAGCTGTTTGGTACCATGAAGAATGACAGAAGCTATGGTTCCTTTGCTGGGCAGTCTGTGCTGTTTTTGTAACAGCTAATTCTACCTCTGACTGTCCCTGAGTGAAGCTGCCTGCAGATCAAAGATACCTCTGATGAATTAAATCCCACTACTTTGTTCCGGTAAACACAATGTAATCTGCACTAGTTCATGGAAAATAATGGAAAATTGTTCTCATTTTGGAAAACTGGAAACCCTTAAGCAAGCAATGCTAGATTCCTACCACTTTGATTCCCAGGATTTCTTCACACTCCCAATTATAGGGCACAACTCAGCCCCATCTTTGAAAGTCACACCTCTGCCTGAGCCCCCACTTCAGCAGCCAGGACTTTTTGCTGTGGAATCACACTCCTTCCCTGAGTTCTCTCTCTGTGTTTGTGGTTCTTTCCCCTTGGAAATTGTTGTGTCTTTGCCTCTAGGCAAATACTTCAGATCCCACTCCAGTGGCAGTACATCTGCACAGAGGGAAAAACACATTTAAAACCCTGTGACAGGCATGTGCTTGATAAGTGCCAGGGATGTCCAGGGCCATTAAGCAGCCCTGAGGGCATAGTGAGAGAAGAGGCTAAAGAGAGTCACCAGAGCCTGAGCCCCTGTCTTAACTTTGATATTTATTATGAAAGAACTGGGAAGGCACAGGGGGCCTTGAGTCGAGAGGGGTGGAATTGGACTAAGATCACTCTGAAGAAAGAAGGCTGTGGGAAGAGAGTGGATACTGGAATACAGGATGGGTGGCCACTGCAGCTGTCCATGTGTGAGATGGCACCCTGCCGAGGCAGAGCCTCTTGTAAACTGGAGAGCTAGCAGGATTCAGGTTGGATGTGGAGTGAGAGAGGTATAGAGGTGCACAAGGGTGACTCCAGTTCCTCTGTGAGTAATCTGTAGCCAGTGATTGTGGCGTGAAGGCCACTGTGTAGCAGGCCGACTAAGGAATGCCCTGAATTCATAGTGAGGTGTCTGCCCCATGCATCATCTTCACTGTGGTCTGTGGTTCTGTAAGGAAACGGCTTGCTCTGACAGTCAGCTGGTGTTGAGACCCGTGAAGACACAACTAGAAACTTCCTGGAGCTCTGGGCACCTTGGGGTCTAAAGGGTGAGTCACTAACAGAACTTGCTCAGAGAGCAGTGCCTCAAGTGGCCTGTGACCTGCTGTGTGCAGGGCAGCAGCAGTGGGCTGCCTGGCATCCTCAGGACTCTGAACTTGCAGGGATAGGGAAGGCTTTCTGCCTCACAAATCATCATCTTCTGTGTTTGGGATAACTGAGTTTTTTGTGTCCACAAATTATATTTTAACCTCAGCACTCAGTTCTAGAGAGTAGTTGCTTCTCAAGAGTAAAAATAAACTAAAGCCTGTTCCCATAAGTACTACTTCTTAAAATAAATGCACAGTTCTCAAATTTTGTAGTTCTTCGATTTTACCAGTCAAAACCAGCTGCTTTGTGTTGTTTACGATATAATTTGGCCTGTGATTTATAAACCACTATATTAAAATTGAATCAGCTTGCTGAAGAGCTGAAACATATTAATTAGAAATTTTAAGTAATTATGGGCATATTAAAAGCCTTAAATTTCTCAAAAAACATAATTAAAACAATAACTATTAATGTTTTCCCTTTCTTTAGATATGAGCTCGCTAGCAGAGAAAAAAGATTTAAATAAAAGGTTAGATCAGTTGCCCCTTAAGGCAAACAAGCTCAATTCAGAATATAAGTGTATGTGTTCAATTGAAAGTCAGTGAAATGGAAGTAATCAATACTAAGCTTTAAACTATTGATAGATAACATTAATCCATTTAAAGTGAATAGGAATAATTTGGTATATATTCTTATATAAGGGTAAAGCATCCCTTATTATGCTTCTAGTTTAATATTTTGTAAAAACATCCTCCTACCCCAGCCCCCCAAAAAACCACAACCCAAGTGACCTAGAACGTCCTTTGGCACTGGATCAGCTGAGGGCATGTTGCCACCATCTTCTGCCACGCTCTCCAGAGGGCTCTTGTTTGTTAACCTTATAGGAAATAATGCTATCCTTGGTGACTGCTCCTGTATGAGCAAAATTAAAAGGGAGCTAAATAAAAGTGCCATGCTGGGGTAGCAACACTGAAATGATCCATTTTGTGCACATCAAGGAAAGATTTCTTCATAAATTTTGTTCCTTAAAAACTTCAGTCAGTAAGGAAGAGCCCAACAAAGCAGGCCAAAAAATTTTATCTAATCCTTAACTAATCTGATTTGCCTGTGGTGTTGCCAATAAAAAAAAAAAACTAGGTTTAATTTAAGTGGAATACCAGTCTCAATGTGGTGTTTGTGAAGTTGTGTATTTCAGAACTATGAGATTTTGGTTAACTATGATGTGCTTTGAATTTTTTCACTCCCCAACGCAGAATGAGACTTCAGATGACACGTTCCTCTAAAATGCTATTTTATTTATAGAGTATAAACGTGCCCAGCTGCCTGTCTGTCATATGTGACTGTCATCCTGTGAGAGACATTTTGAGGAGAAAATGCTGTAGATGTAGGGCCTAGATTGACCTCCAGCCACAGCACAGCTTCCTTGTAGTTGCCTGGGCCTGCTGGTGCCATCCAACCTTCCATGAACCAGAACCACATGTGGTTCTAGAATATTGTGGCAAATGAAAGAGCTGGCGGGAGCTTTTCTCCAAGGATAGTGTGCTGCTGTAGCACTGGGGGCTTCTCTTCTGTGCTGGGTGCTTGTACCTAGACTGCTGCCATGGGCAGCAAATCAGTCCTGGTGGTTGAAAGGTGCAGTGGTTTCCAGCAGATATTCTTCACAGTCTCTCAGTGAAACCTAACTGTAGCAGGAGACTGACCAAGGCCAGGAATCTCACCGTCTACCTGGAGTGCTTAGGAAAAGGGACCCTCAGAGGTCCCATTGTGCAAATGATTCATCCCTGAGCATATAGGATTTTATCCTTGGCAGCAAAAATCTCCCAAACATCTTTAGAAACATTAGCATGCATTAAGGTGCCAATCATAACCTAAAGATGTGAAAGCTCAGAGCAGGAGTTCCCAACAGAGGTTCAGTTGGGGTCCCTTTTGCCCCCCGGAGACCATTGGCAGTGTCCGAGATGATAATGCTTGTCACACCTGGGCGACGGTGGGTGGTACCACTGGTATCGGGTAAGAAAAGGCCAAAGATACTGCTGAATACTTGAGGTGAATAGGACAAACCCCCACAGCTAAAAATTACCTGGTCCCAAATGTCAGTAGTGCGAGGGCTGAGTATGTTGGCTAATGGCATAAACATACTTTTGAATTTATGTGATGCATGTGTATTATAATTGCCCTCTGAAAGAGAAGAAAAACAGAGATTTGATAGTAAGGATGGTTATTTTTATGTTCTTTAAGTTTTTTTTGTTTTGTTTTAAAGGCGTTTGAGAACTTTGCTTTTAGAAAGAAATCCTATCAAAATGTTACCTATGGAGCTGGGTAAGTATTAAAACAATAAAATAAAAGATGATTTTAAATTAGTGTCCTTTGAGGTCACTGGACCTTGTGATGAAAATATCAGATGTGATATGGGGGGATAGGCTGGATGGTGTTTCAAAGGCTTTCTGTCTCCACTCTAGGGTTCTCCTAGGAACTTTAACACTTCATATCTCGTGTATACATGGGTAAGATGTGTAAGCACTGAGGAGCAATCAGGACCAAGCAGCGCACAGCCTGAAGAGACTTCATGTCACTGTGTCTTGGCCTGTGCACTTGCCTGTGATGTCACTTTGCTTCCTAAGTGGGACTTGGCCCACTTCTGTGTCCTCAAGTGTATTGCTTTTATTTAAACTTCATGTCACACATCGCATTCTTGGTGCTTTGCTTTCTTGCTCACCACTATGCTTTTGAGGTTTTCCCACATGGACATGTAACTATATGCATTTTTTTTGCTATAAATGAAAAGGAAGATGATTTTCCACATTATGCATCTGTTTTATCTCAGATTTCTGCTATCCTGTTTAGGTTTGATTTGTTTTATCTTTCTAGCTTATTGAGTTAGAAACATAGGTTTTTACTTTAAATCTTTCTTCCCTAATATATGTATTTACAACTGTAATTTTGCCCTAAACACTAACTTACATGTTTCAACTCACTGAGTTTTCTTCATTCAGCTCAAAAGTTTTCTGGGCACGTAGCGTGTGCTGCTTAATTTCCAATTAGAGGTTTTCTAGTTATCTTTATTTATTTATCTGTCTTTACTAACATTTACTTTAATACTCTATTTAAAAGTCAAAGATTGGGACCAGGGGTTTAGCTCAGCAGCATAAGTGCCTGCTTGGCAAACGTGAGGTCATGAGTTCAATCCCTGGTGTGGGGCGGGGGGTAGGTAGGGGGTGGGGTGGAAAAAAAGCCAGAGGTTGTCAGGTGAGATGAAAAACCCCACAGTATACTTCCTATGCACAATGTATTAAACGAAATACAGATAGCTTGTCTGCCTATAGGATAAAAGTAAAAGAATGGAAACATATACCATGTAAACAATAAACATAAGAGAGTTTGAGTGTTACCATAATATATACCAGATACTTGATAATAGATGCCAAAATGCTCGATGTCATTAGCCACCAAAGAAATGTGTATTAAAACTGCAGTGAGATACTATTAACACACTTACCAGAATACAGAAAATGAAAAGGTGACTTTGTGTTGATTGGATATTTATTTAGGTTTCATTATAACTTATTTACTGACTTTTTAGCTCTAATTTTTACACTCCTTTAATAGTTTAATAGTTGTAATAGGAATTACAAAATGCACTCTTTTTTTTCCTTTTTTTGGTCTTTTTTGAAGCAGGATTTCACTATGTGGTTCATGCTGGCCTTGAGCTCACTTTGTAGTACAAGCTATCCTAGCAGTGATCCTCCTGCCTCAGCCTCCTGAATGCTGGAATTATGGGCATGTACCATGATGCCTGGCTACAAAGTGCACTCTTATCATTAGCATTATACCATAACATATAAAATGTAACTGTGCAAGACCACTTACTTTTTCTTATGCAGTAGTTTTCCTATGTATTATGTCTATGTATGTTATACACCCACAATACAATGTTAAATTTTTAGCTTAAGCAACCTGGTATATTTTAAAGAACTAAAGAAAAGAAAAACCAATTGTGTTGGTTACTTTGCTCTTGTTGCTAAGACAAAATACTTGACACCCAAAATGAAGGAAAGAAAGGTTTATTTAGCTTACAGTTTGTGGAGGTCTCAGTCCATATCTGCTGGCACCCATGCTGGGTGGCACGGCTAAGGGCCATGGTAGCCACAAGCGACCAGAGCAGAAAAGGGCAAAAGGGAAGAGCATGCCTCCTGCCCTCCCTTACGTTGTATGCCAACTACCTTTCCCTGCGCAGGTGCAGCACTCACACCTACCAATCCTAGCACTGGGCAATGAATCAGTCACAAATGCTAGATTCAGCCCCCTCCATGACTACATGAAGCTTTGGGGGGACATCCTTTGTCCCAAATTTCTCAGATAGGAGTCACGTTTTCCTGTTCCTTCATATGTCTAGCCATTTTAGAGCATATCTTGGACATTATGTTGGACATTGTAATAAACACTTTGTAGAAATTCCGGTATGTGTGTTGTGACACATTTTCTCACTGTGTTGGCCAGGCAGGCTTATCTTAAACTGGTTTCTAACTCATGTCCTTCTGTCTCAGCCTCCCAAGTGTTGGGATCACAAGTATGTATCACTATGCCCAACAGAGTTTATTTTCATACTTTCTTATGATTTATGAAAAAATAAAATTTCATCTGGGTATGGTGGTGCATGCCTGTAATCCCAGCATTCAAGAGCCCGAGGCTGGAGAATAAGTGAGTTCAAGGCCAGCCTGGGCTACAAATGAGTTCAAGGTCAGCCTGAACCGTATAGAGAAACTCTGACTCAAAAAGACAAAAAAATTTTTTCAGAATGAAATAATTAGAGAATAACAATAGTTAATACATTGTGTATCATTGCCTTCATAGCAATTACTCAGAGAATGACATAGCCTAAAAGGATTCTCTCTTACAAAGGAAAAATGAATAATAGCACAAAACTTTCTTTTCAATTAACTAACAAATTAGTATAAATAAAACAATTAGCTTATATATTAAAATATTTTTGAAACAATAGAATAGGTAATTTGAAGAATGGTTTGTACTTCTCCATACTTCTTATTTATCTGTTTTCTATTTTGCTCTTTTTTTGCATGTGTGTGTGTGTATTTTGTTATGTCAGTTCACAGAAGTGAGATTCCCAACTTTCTCACTTGTAATGGCAGTAAGTAGTCTTTCTTCAGTCTAGTGTTGACTGGATGTTTGAAGTCTTACCATAGTTGTGAAGTTCAAGACTCAGTGGAGAATTTGTATAGAGTTTATAGGTATAATATTAGTATTCTTTCACATCTGTTCTCTCTTTTTCTGAAATTTATGCTTTTACATAGCTCTGAACTCTCTCCACGAGCCCTTCAAGTCATGACTGCAAGTTTTATCTACATCGTAGCTGCCAGTAGTGGCCTTTTCTGAGCCTTCCCAGAGGTAGAAATCCTTCTAGTATTAAACTCATCCACTGCATTCTGTTCTTGAAGGTATCATCCCCCCACTAGATTCTGGCTGGTTTTTGTTGCCCTGCTACTTCTATGTGGTTCCTTTTTATACTTTGCCCAGTATCTAGTTATCTCTAGGAGACTCACTCTGACTGGAGCTGCTCTGACTTTGCTGGAGGAAGAGGAATTCATTGCACTATTTTGTATTTTTATTTCAGTTATTGGCCTAGAGATTTTATTTATGCCCTTAACTTACTACAATGTAGTTGAAATGAGAATCTGTACTACTTCCCAAACAGGGAACCTTATAAATGTTTAACAGTATTATTTACTTACTGCATTTTTGGCATTGTTTTGATATATTCTACTTTTATAACTTAAGCAACCTGGTATATTTTAAAGAAATAAAGAGAAGAAAAACCAATTGTGTTGGTTACTTTTCTCTTGTTGTTAAGATAAAATACTTGATACCCAAAATGAAGGAAGGAAAGGTTTATTTAGCTTACAGTTTTTATTTTAAAGGGAATAAAAAAAAATAAAATGGAACAAAATATTGGATTTCAAAAGCAAGATAGAAGGAAATCCCCTACAGTTGCTATAATGCATATTGTTGTCCTCCAAATGGATGATTTAACTACTGGCTTTTAGGCCTGCAAAGTCAACCAAACAATAAAAGCATTGAATTGTGCGTTTTTTAATTCAGTTGCTATCATCTCAGCCTATGTTCCCGTGAGTCAGCTGGTTGCTTACAGGGGGTAGGCTGGGGAAAGTGGGAGCCAGTGGGTGGCAGCACTCCTTTTGTCTCCCAGCCTGTGCGCTAGCTGACTCACAGGAAGGCACAGGTTGGCTTCTTGGTTCTCCTCTAGGCCCACACTGCTCACGGGAACAGGAGGCACGTTAAAACCATCAGTACCTCTTCCTATTTCCTTACTTGTTCAACTTTTTGATGTTTGCACTTCTCACAAAGTTCCTACTTCCATCTAAGCTACACTCTTATGCCAAGCTTCTCTCTCTCTTTTTTTTTTTTTTGTTTGTCTTTTTCTTTTTTATCAGTACCAGGGATTGAACTCACGACCACACACTTGCAGTGCAGGCACTTATGCTGGTAAGCTAAATCCCCAGCCCCCCTAAGCTTTTCTTTTCAGCAGTATTGTTGTTGAGTTTGCTGGTGATCAGTTATTCCAGTTTGTTTTTTTCTAAATCATCTTTATTTTGCCTTAATTTTAAAATCGATTTTGGCTGAGTATAGAGTTCCTAGTCCCCTATAAATGCCTTTATAGGGGCTGGGGATTTAGCTCAGCGGCATAAGCGCCTGCCTTGTAAGCAGGCAGTCGTGAGTTCGATCCCTGGTACTGATAAGAAGGAAAAAGACAAAAAAAAAAAAAGACCTTTATATTATCTTTTTTATTTTATTTTCAATCAAAACTTAGTCTTTCCATTTTTTCATATGAAAGTAACATGTCTCTTCTCTGGCTGTCAAACTTTCTCTTTGTATTTTACTTTCAATACGTTGTCTCTGATGTTTCTTGGTCCGGTTTTGTTTGTTTTGACCTTCTTTGGAGTTCACTGAGCTTGAATGTATTTACTGATGTCATTAATCAGATTTATAAATCTCCAGGCCATTATTTATTTCTTTATCTTTTATCCTTCCAGGGCTCAGGTTGGAAATACTTTTTTTCTATGTTCCAGTTTATATTATTTTCTGTTGAGTTTCCTTTGAGTTTATAAATTCTCTCTTCTGCTGGCCCAATTGGCCTTTAAATTCATTCTTTCCCCTCTGGTTTTCTTTTTTTTTTTTGTCTTTTTCCTTTTTATCGGTACCGGGGATCAAACTCACGACTGCCTGCTTGCAAGGCAGGTACTTATGCCGCTGAGCTAAATCCCCAGCCCCTCCCCTCTGGTTTTCAAGTGATCATGCAATCGAGGACAAGGGGATGGGATGAAATTAATTACTGTCATTTTAAGAAGTGTTGTAGATCCATTCAGACGTCCCATGTCTACCTGTGTCAGTATTGGAATACCTTGGTTTCCCCGTGCGCTGTTGAATGGCCATTTTTCTGGGTGTGGAGAGCTTGATCAATGGGAATTTCTCTCAGCACTTTGAATGCCTTGGCTCACCCTTTTCTGGCCAAGTTGTTCCTGATTGGAAGTCAAATGTTTTGTTTTGTTTGGTACTGGAGATCGAACTCGCGACCCCGCACTTGCCAGGCAGGCACACAGGCACTTGTGCCATTGAGCTAAATCCTTGGCTCAATTGAGCTAAATCCCTGGCTCAAGTGTTAATCTTACTATCATAGCTCCCTTTTGGTGTCATGAGTTGTTTTCCCTCACTGTTTAGGCAGTTATGCATTTTTCTGTCACTTTCAGTATTTTGCTTGTGATCTAAGTGTGAATATCTCTCCATTATCATTCATTAAGCTTCACAGATAGGTAAATTAATGTTTACCACTGGGTCATTTTGGCTCATATTTCTGCTCTTTCCTCTTTTGTTTCCTATTACATAGTAGACACTAGCTAACTTGAGGTTGTCCCTGAGGTTCTGTTGTTTAATATTTTTTTCTCTGTAACCTTTGAGTTCAATGATTTTTATTACTCTTTTTCAAGTTCATTGATTGTTTCTTCTGGGGGTTTCATATCTATCATTGAGTCCCTCTAGTGAATTTTTCACTTCAATTATTATGATTTTCTACTCTAAAATTCTAATTTGTTAATTTTTATAATTTCTGTTTTTATTCACATGCAAATTTGTTGAGTCATTTTATTGTATTCACCTCTGATTATTTAAATATAGGTTATTTCATTTCTTTGGACCTATTTATAATGGCTACTTTGAATAAATAGTCTGCTAAATCTAGCATCTTTGTCTTCCCAGTGACAACTTGTTTCTGAGTATGTTTCGTTTTCTTTACCTATCTTATAAGTAAAGAAAAGGTAGTTTTTAATGTTGAAAATGGGCATTTTAGGTAATACAGTAACTATTTGCTATGATTTTTTCATGAAGATAGCTGTTGCTGCTATTTAATTTTTTTCACTATCGTAGTCTTCATCTGTGGACTTTGTCTTCCCTGCAGAGTTTTTAAAAGGAAAACCTCAGATGTCCATCATCTCCTTTTATCCCAAGTACTGACAAGAATCATTTTTACGTGTGAGAGTAGTTGCTTTCACCGCCTCCTGGTATCTGTGCCATGGAACAGCACGCAGGCACTGAGGCTTTTCTCCTGTGTTGCAGGGAATGTAGTCACACTAAGGGCACTGAACCTAAGACATTGCCCTCTGGAGTTCCCTCCTCAGCTTATCGTGCAGAAAGGAGTGGTAGCCATCCTGACCTTCCTGCGGATCTGTGCAGCAGAGCATGACTTCCCTGAGGATGCAGCTTCTCAAGGTTTGTAGGCCAATTACATATGACACGCAACGTGAACACTGAAGTCAAAGCTTTTTAAATAGGGGCCTGTCTTCTCTTGATGGTCTCCTAAAGATCTGAATCCCTTACTTGTCTTCTGCTGAGCTCAGATGGCAAATGTGAATCCCTCATGCCCCTCAGTCACACCCAGCCGTATTTTGGTTCAAGGTTTATGAACTTATACCCTCAGCATCCATTACAGAACTTGTTTAGAGTGGGGTTGGTGAAAGTTCATTGGGAGAAATCAAATGAACCAGCCTCACCTCTAAGCCACCAGCAAGCAGCAACTTCAGGAGGTAGCTCTGTTAAACAACTTTAAAAATAAGCAAAATGAAATGTCTCCTATTCCTTTCTAAGTACAAGAAATCAGCATTAAGTGGATTTATAACTGTATTTGTCTAGTTACATTTTTTGGTGGGCACTCACTAAACTATTCCATTTTGTCTGCTAATGGGCCAGCCACATATTTTCCAATAAAAATAAAGAATCATACAGAATGTTCAGGGAAAAATAAATGTTCTGAAGTATTAACTTGAAAATACCTAAAGTTTTACTACTTTAAGTCATTAGTTTTATACTTAAGAGCATACCTACTTGAAGTAATTAGTCAAGAAAGCTATATATATATATATATATATATATATATATATATATACATATATGATAAATAAAATGTGTTAATAGTTAAGTCTGTGTCAGCAGTGTGACCTTTCATTGTAACCCAGTTGGCTATACTTGGAAATAGTGTAAGATGATCAAAAACAATAGCTAATCTTGTACTTTATTCAGTTTTTGTTAACGTTGTTGTTGTTTTGAAGTACTGGGGATTGAAGTTAACGGCCTTCACACTGAGCTACAAATAAATATTTATTTATTTATGTAATGTATTTTTGAGGTAAAGTCTCACTATGTTATTCAGGCTGGCCTTTAATTCACAGCGATCCTCCTGCCTCAGTGTCCCAAGTGCTTCAATTACAGGCATGTACCACCACACACTTATATTTTATTTTGAGACAGGGTCTCAAAACGTATGATCCTCCTCCTTCAGCCTCCTAGAGTGCTAGTATATGTTTTTTTGTAGATGTACTTTTAAGTGCTCCCAACAGATTGCCACTGTGTGGAATCTGCCCAGGTTTACACATTTGCTGGTGGAAAGATGTCCACAGACAGAATCTAAGTCTCAGGTTAGAAGTGAGGTTCCAACAATGACTGCAATAACTGGGCCCCTCAAGGTTTTGAATCAGGTGGAACATTCCAGGGAACAGAGTTTATTATTTTTAAAGAAAAGAGGAGTAAGGGGCTGGGGATTTAGCTCAGCGGCATAAGCACCTGCCTTGCAAGCAGGCAGTCATGAGTTCGATCCCGGTACCGATAAAAATGAAAAAAAAAAGGAAAGAGGAGTAAAGAGAGTCATTCCTTAGTACACTTCTCATACTTTATAAATTGAACCTATTTACTGACTTTAGTTTTTTGTGTGTATTTGTGTGTGTGTGTGTGTGTGTGTTTCACTCATTAATGTTAGCTTTCTAGGAATGCCTCAAGAATCTTCTGTCCAATTTGGGGGGTACACACCCACAATCCTAGCACTGAGCAGTAAGATCATGAGTTCAAGGTCAGCCAGAGCCGCATACCAAGACTGTCTTAAAAACCTCTTCCCTAACAAACGAAGATGCTTGTCCCGTGACCCACTCTAGCTTGTGGAATGTGAGGGAGGTGCTCTTGTGACATAGATCTGTGAGCCCCAGGGGAAATACTGTAGCACAGGCTGAATGGCTCTGAGGACACCAAAGCCAAGACAAAGCCTGGCAGGAGGGAGAAAAAGGAGCATTGTGTTTTCCTGATGATAGGTGGCACTAGAAGCTGGATAGAAAATGCTCTGTCCCCAGGTGAGCAGGTCTGTGCTTCATCAGTCTTTATTCTTGATTCATCACAGAAGATCCTGGGATGTATCATTTTAAAATGTTGCTCGTATTCCTAAAGTGTCTTCACGCAGCCCAGATTCCTGTCCACAGCAGTCAGCAGACTGCACAAGGTCAGAGCAGGGCTATCAGGCAGCAGCTGGTGGCCCTGAGGCAGTGTGCTGCAGGAAATTCCCAACAGACTCCATTAGAGGAAGAGTCCAGAAGACAGTCTGTGCTCTTCAAAAGAAATTACACCACAAAAAATGTGAAACATATAAAGTCTTTCCAGATTGGAGCCCTGTTTTCATGAATAGACCATGTGAGGACTGATGGGAGTGAGCCCACCTTCCACCTGTCTAGGCAAAGCGACTCCACACTGGGCCATTTTGGTTGGTCTTGGAGGGTAGCATTAATGTGTGGGCAACTAACATGGCATTTTATCCCACCAGAGAGCTCACCTGTTAAAAAGATGGACCTAAGTGAGCTTCCAGAGCTTGTGCAAGATTTATCAAAATATAGGATGCCTACTAGAGAAATCTTGAATCCTCAGGACCCAAAGGTGACTATGTTGAAAGAAAAAGTGGACTTTCTCGCACCTGTTGAAAATTTAGACCTGAGTGAGCTCAGGAGATCCACTGCATCTCCAGAACAGTGGCCAAGCAAGGAAGAAATCAAGCGTTTCTGGAAGCTGAGGCAGGAGATTGTTGAGAACGAAAAAACAGAGGTTCTTGAAAACCAGCTCTTACCCATTGAGTTGCCTCCAAATATCAAGGCAGTGTTAAACAATGAGAAAGAACACTCAAAGCAAAGGCACATGTCCAGGTAAACTCAAAAGCAAAGATGAATTTTCTTGATATTTGCAATACTGTAAAAATTATTAGGGCTGGGGATTTAGCTCAGCAGCATAAGTGCCTGCCTGGCAAGCATGAGGTCGTGAGTTCAATCCCCAGTACCACAAAAAAAAAAAAAAAAAGAAAGAAAGAAAAAAAGAAAACAATTATAATTGTCTCTCATTTTTATTTTTGTTTTTTTGGGGGGAGGGGCTTGGAGTTTTGCGGGGGGGGGGGGGGGGAGTAACCAGGAATTAAACTCAGGACTTTGTGCTTACCAGGCAGACACTGTGCAACTGAGTTACATCCTTGGTCCGTGTAATTGTCTCTTAAAACTTGAGGTCTGCATATACACATGCAGGTTGTGTGTGTGTGTGTGTGTGTGTGTGCACGCGTGTGTGTGTGTACATGAGTATGTATATATATATAAATCTACATAAATAATGAGAAATGTGGAAAATAATAATCAATGAATCTAGAACACTTTCTCTAGGGTATGTCATTATACCCAAGGGGATAATAACAGGATTTAGGGGGTAAAAAAAAAGAATTAGAATTAACAGTAGTCTTTGGTTCCCTATAGCTACCACCAGGGCAGCAGGAGCGAATGCATTATCTATCTGTGGTTTAAAAGCTCATGGGGAGGCTGTAGGGAACCTGTCTGCAGTGGTATAGGTAGTGTGGAATGGGAGAGGTGTGGATCTGTGTGGAAGGTGGCTGGCAATTATGGGTGGCACTGATCTTTCAGCTGTCCTGTAGGTTTAATCATTTTAAAAATAAAAGAAACAGAGCTGGGGAAACAGAGCTGGGGATTTAGCTCAGCCGCACAGCACCTGCCTGGCAAGCACAAGTTCCTGAGTTTGATCCCCGGTACCAAAAATAAATGAGGGTGAGGAGAAACAGAGAAAGGAAGGAAGGAATTTTGAACTGACACATTACAACCTTGGAAGTCCTGGCAGGTTTCTAACTATGGTGTGGCCTCAGAGGCTTTGGAACTGTTGAAATACTCTTAGCGTAGGAACACACCGAGCAAACAGAAATATTCTAACCCGCTATTTAGAAACCTCTTTCCTTCCTCCCTTATGAATAATAATGATTTATCCAAGTAAATCATGGTAAGCTTATTAATACTACTTCACAATTATATCAGTACATCAGATCTCAATTTTCAGAGATTTATTTGAGTGGCTCAAAGATTGAGACAGCCAGGCTGAGCCTGCCCATTCATTCAGGTCCACTTGCCAATGCTATGAGCTGCTTCCTAAGAATAATTTAAGGGCATCTTTTTCCTAAGAAGTTCTGTATTAGTAGCTGACTTTCAATGGTGGTCATTTGTTGTAATCTGTCTTCATACTATTTCCTAGATCATCATGGATTGATACTATGGCTTTGTGTGGGACTGCCACATTAATTTTTATAATGTTTCGAAAGTGTAGTTGATTATGCCACCCTTTTAAGTTTTTAAGCATGTATTTTGTAACAGTGCAGCTCATGTGGGTGTGAATGACCATTCCAGAACCTTGTTACATAGTTAGATAAAGACACTGTAATTTTAGAAAGAAGAGGTCCCCCTTCAAGAACATCTTACCTGACCTCACATCACCATACCAAACGATGATTCCGACCAAAAGACTTGAAGAACGTCGAGCAGCGGCCCTCAGAGAGCTCCGAGAGAAGCAGGCTCTGATGGAGCAGCACAGGAGGTGTGTCTGGAGAGGGTGAGGTCTCCCCACAGCCAGTGCTCCCCTGGTGACAGTGGGCACTGAGAGTTGGAGCCACAGCTGGATCACAAGGCCTCAAGGGAGGTCTTGGGTTTGCTTGTCTCCTCCCTGGTCCCGGATCAGAATCTGTCCATCTCAGCTGGAAACTGGCTGCATTGTCCTCCCCTGCCTGTGCTTGGGACTGAAGCGTGCAGGCTATCGCTTCAGATCCTCTGAGGCTGTCCTCCTGCAAGGCTAGCACGGGTCACTGTGATCATTACGGTCATTATGGTCATCAGGTCTCTGCCCTGCCTTCTCGACATGCTCAGCTGCCTACTTGTGTGTTACCTGGTTTCTTGCTCTTCCTCAATCGTTTCCTCTTCACTGGACACTACCTGACCCCCTGTCCTTTTCTGAAGAGTGCTAGTTAGAAATGAGAGTTCACTTTTTATTTTTTTTTAACTTTAAAGAGAATAAAACTCAACAAAACAAAGCAGAGTAAAGCCAACCGAAACAAGGCAGTGAAAGTAGTACAGAGCCTTGAAGCTGGACAATAGGAAATCAGCAATGGCTGCCATAGTATCTCTTGTTATCTCACAACAGTTGTCTGTTCTGCCAGACATAGTAAAATCAGACAAAACAAAACCAATCGAAACAGAACATTGAATAAAACAAAACAATAAATCAGAACAAAACAAAACAATGAGATTGATACTGAATTTCAAAAACAAGACAGAAAGAAGTCCCTAATGTTTGCCATATTGCATACTGGCATCATTCTAGTAGAAGCACAGACTATTGGCCTCAGACCTGCAGAGTCAGTCAAACAATACAAGCCTTTAATTGTTTTTTACTTCAGTTGCTATCGACTCAGTCAGTCCTTTGAACCAGCCAGCTGCTTTCAATGAGAGATGGGAGTAGTTCTTGAGTAGTAAGGAGTAGTCTGCTCACGGAGAGGGCTATCTGGATTCTCTCTTCCTGGACCCAGCATGCTTTGTGCAGCTTACCGGAAGGGCAAACTGACTTCTTGGTGGAGTCTTCCCAGACCCAGCATGGCCGACCTCGAGAGTTCACTCTTGTGTTGCTGACCACACTAATGCATCCCCTACCCTTGGATCATGGAAGCCAGCTTGCTGTCAGGAGGCTGCCTGGGCCCCACTTTAGCATCTACTCTACCTTTCGGCTCTGCTGACCACCCAGGTACATTCCACGCTAGGCCCTAGGAGGCCATTGGCATGGACCATGTCCACGGCACCTTTGTGTTCCTCACCTCATGGTAGGATTCAGCCAATGAGGGATCCCTCAGGCATTCAGGGCATTGGGGAGAATGAAGATAGGGTCATTTCTCTAACCCTTTTATGTGCTTTGTGGGACTGGCTGTACCCTAGGTACTGCCAACTCCAGCTTCTCTCCTGGCTTCCAGCCACCACTCCTTCCATGGTGTGCTAATGGGCCGGAGGGTAACTGGCTATGTACTGCTCTGTGGTTCCTTCTGTCTGCCTTCTGGGGCTCATCTGTGGATAAGTACTCCTGACACTGTCCGTGGGGTGTGTATATCTGTTTCTCTGGGGCCCAGTGGGTACAGACTGCTCACAAGATGCATTTGTGGTTGTGTGTACTGGCACCCACACACACTTGAGGTTGCTTGTGTTTCTTCAATAACAGGTCACACAGCTTTTTCAAGAACAGTAGTTCCAATACAAAGAGTGGGTAAAACCTCTTTGTGGCCCTGTTGAGCTATGAAAGACTTTGCTTTGTGTTCCTGATAAACACCCCTGCAAGCCTTACAGTGTGGTTCAAGATTTCAGGCACAAACATACTCCCACTTCATGTCCCCTGATTAGGAATGTTACCTCCAGGGGGCTGGGGATTTAGCTCAGCAGCATAAGCGCCTGCCTTGCAAGCCTGTGGTCGTGAGTTCGATCCCTGGTACCGGCAAAAATACAAAAAAAAAAAAAAAAAAAAAAAAGGAATGTTACCCCCTCCTGAGGGGCAAGCATACCCTTCCTGTCCCATGGTCCCATGTGACCAAGAGGAGGCAGATACCACATGGAGTCCCTTGGCCAGAAGCTACATGGAAGATACAGGAAGTGGCAGCATGCTGGAGCTGGGGTCTGGGGCCCATGCAGGCAGGTGGCAGAGCATGGCCTCACTTGTGAGGAAGTGCCAAGGACCACCCAGACCTGTGCCTTGAGGTTGGAGGCCTGGAGGATGGGGACAGTTCTGATGGCATAGGAGGACAAGCCCAGTAGGCAAAGCCCAGGAGGGCTGAGCTACTGTTCCCATAAGGAGAGACCTTAGGAGGTGGTGCATGGGCAGAAGGCCAGGATGCATGTGAACAATGTCCAGATGTCTGCGGAGGAGGGGAGATGGGAAGAAGCCGGATCTCAGGGCAGGAGAGAAGGAAACCACACACATGCACTGAGAGCAGGAGTTAGTTCAGACAGACAAGTGGGCCCTGGGGCTGCAGCAGTGGCTTCAGGATGGATGAGGCCAGGGCCCTTCCCCAAATTTATGGACAGTTTAGAAATCGTGCACTCCTGTGTGGCTACAGCCTTCCTGTAGACTTTGCTAAAGGGAGCTCCCAGCCACAGGGCAAGACTGTGTAAAGGAACCTGGCCCTGCCTGAGGGGGCAGGAATTCTGCTGAGAAGTTGGGAAGGACTAAAAGATGCTCAATTTGTAAAGCAGAACACAGATATCTAGCACGAAGTCAACTTGTGAGTTTCAGATCTTCCCTAGACAAGAACCTGAAGGTCTTCAGTGTGGGTGCCTCCAGTGCCCAGCTGAGACCCTTCCCAGAGTGTCCAGTGCTTTTATACTGGGGCCTAGGGATACCTGACTGCCTTGGCCAGGCATTTGTTGTCACAGAGTCACACAGAGGGCCTCAGGTCAAAATCTGCTCTTCCTGTGCCTAAAACAGGTGGGAAATTCCATGCATGCTCTCTGGGGATGAGCAGGCAGGAGAAAAAAGGCTGCTGGATCAAAGCTGAGAATGGCACATAGCTTTTGTATGCTTTGCTTGAAGCTGCTCAGAGCTTATGATATAAAAATGTATTTTCTACAGAGACAAAAGGACCCTGCAGGAATGGAGAGAGCAGACCCAGATGCTGAAGCAGAAAAAGGAGGAACTCGGCAAACTCCTGCCTTCACCTCAGGGAGTGGTATGTGTGGCCTGCAAGGGGGGGGGGGGGCAGCATTGTCCTGCTGGCCACACACAATCCAGAGGAGCCTTGCAGGGAATGTGGGTGCTGCACACACTGGAACCAAGACTGAGTCTAAGCCATTTCTCACAGACCCTGGCTGGCGTTGGAGCTGGGCCCTGGCCTGGGAGGCTGTCCTTTTTGTTCACTGACTTGTAGGCTCGGTCTGATAAAGTAGGAACTCAGAGAGATGAAGGCAGAGAAAATGAGGGGCAAACATTTAAAACATAAAAACACCACCAGGTTTTGGGGTGCCTGTAGACGTTATCCTGGGCCCCTCACTCGTCTCAGCATTGAGAGACCAGCCAACCTCAGAACCCCAAAGTGGTGGCTTTGGAGATCTTGTCCTTGACCCTGGATTATTCTCTCAGGGCACCTGGGTACAGCACCCTCTTCCTGTCTCCCTTCATACCATTTGGAGGTCTTGTTCTGGTGGGGCAGGTGTATGTGGCAGGAACTTGGGAGCTAGCATCGCCTCCAGGATGTACCTGGCATTCTCTGCACCATGAGCACAGTCAGGCAGGTAGATTTAACATGGTCACAGATGTTTCTTCAGTCCTTTCTTTTAGGAAAGTTCCCTGTGTGTTCCTGAGCAGTGGTTGCCTGTGTGGTCCCTTAGCTGGAGCAGGTTCCCAAGGCCTTTCCAAGTTTGCTTTGAGTCCTTGCCTGTACCACCATCCTAGCTGGCAGTGATTGTGCTCCTGCACAGAGCTCAGCCTGCACAGTTTGAGAGTTGATTTTTTTAAAAAACGTATATCACACTAATTTTAAGACTTACAAAGTCTCGAAATTAGTGCGGGAAGTTTCATATACGCTTCCCTGTTTCCCTGATGCTAACGTCTTCATGAGCACTAAGTGCCTAGAATAGGCATTCCCAGCACTGCAGTATGAAAGCCAAGCAAAGGCTGCATCTCACCAGCTCTCCACGGGTGCCCTTTCCTGGCTGGATCCCCCGTGGTGCATAGTCTTCACGTCAACTCAGTGTCCTCCAGGCAAGAGGGGTTTTTCTGTCTTCTCATATCTTTCATGACTTTGCCACCTTTGTGCAGCGCTGATCCATTCTTTTGTGGGATGTCTGTCAATCTCGGTTTGTCTGGCATTTGGATTTGGAGCAGGAATACCTCAAAAGTGGCATCCTGTCTTTCTCTGAACAGTGTATCACAGGTTCGTGTGCGCTTGACCTCGAACCCTGTCCCTGTGGCATCAGTATTTCTCCTCTACAGTCTCCCTGCCCTCCCTCCCTACCCCGTCAGTAGCTGATCAGGCCTCAAGGAGAGACCAGAAGGCTTACATGTGGTGATGTCTGCATCTGGCAGACATCTGTGTCTGTGACAAGTGAGTCTGCTGGTGATGTTCCATTATAATTCTCTGTCACTGAGTTCTTTTATCTAATATTTTCCAAATTGCTTTTGCTACAATGGTTTATTAATGTAAGAGGATGAAAAGCAGTAGAATCATTTACCCTAATAGAATGACCCAATGGGATGACAAAATTTATATAAGCAGGTTTTTCAGATTTTGCTACAGTTGGAGTCCCTGGTAGCTGACAGAATTGTCATTTGCCTGTTTTTCCGCAGACATTATGACAACTCTGGCACCCCCAAGGCTTAGGCTGCTCACACACTTTTAGCTCAGTAGTGATGAGCCTATGGCTCACAGGCTAAGATGCACCAGCTCACAGTGGACTGTTCGAATCCTTGAAAACTCTGAAAAGTTCACCATTACCGTCTACGGGAAGGAATGGCTGTGTCCTGGGCCTGCAGCCCAGGATGACTTGGGTTCTTCCCTTCTGAAAAGATCTACTAATTCATAACACAAGTGCTTCTTGCTAAAGAGACCATCCTTAGGAGTAAAATTAGAATAATTATTTTCCACATCCCAGACCCGGAGCATTATGTCTTCTTGTGATCTTTTATTCCTTTATTTGTTGGAAAAACTTTAAGACTTTAGCAGCTCTCAAAAAAACTGTGCTGAAATGCAACCCCTTCTCACTCACTTCATTTAAGAATGTTGTTCTCTATATTTTGCATAATATTACAGACAGAATTTCATGTTCTTTGTTTACTTAATGCTATTATATCGTAACAGATTTTCATTTTTGCTATCATCTTTTTTTCTAATTTCTCCAGTGTTCCCTATATGTGTAACAGTTTAAAATATGTATTATATCACTTTCAGGAATATAAATTGTATGCACAATTTAAGAATACTTTCAGGGCCAGGGATTTAGCTCAGCATCATAAGCTCATGCCTTGCAAATGCGAGGTCCTGAGTTCAATCCCTAGTACCAAAAAAAAAAAAAAAAAAAAAACTAAAGAATACTTTCAGAGGGCCAGGGATTTAGCTCAGCGGCATAAGCTCCTGCCCTGTAAGCCCGCAGTCGTGAGTTCAATCCTCAGTACCAAAAAAAGAGAATACTTTGGCTGGTCCAATGGCAGTGGGTTATCAGAACTTATTAACATTAGTGTCACTAAAGTTGGTATACCACCCCCCCACTGCTAAATTTAACTGGCTTAAAATAAATAAATAAATAAATAAATAAATATAATATAAAAAATTTAAAAAAAGAGAATACTTTCAGAGCCAGGGATACAGCTCAGTGGCACAGCACCTGTCTGGCAAATACGAGGTCCTGAGTTTGAGTCCCAGTACCAAAAAACCCCCCACAAACTTTCAGCGCTTGATTATAGAAAAAAAAAAAAAAAAAAAAAAACAGGCAATAACTCAAATGGCTTGTTCCAACTGTTGTTACCTAAGTGGCTGTCCATAAAGTCAGAATAGGTCTAACATCTACTGAGTTTAAGATACCTTTTTTTTTTTTTTGATACCAGGAATCAAACTCAGGACCTTGTACTTGCCAGGCAGGAGCCGTGCCATTGAGCTCTACCCCTGGTCTTAAAATATCTTGAAGAAGTTAAAACAACACAAGTTTCAGAACATGCCCAGAAAGTCCTATTTGTTTGGAAGAAAAGACTGCTGGCCTTGGAGTAGTGTACCTGGAATGAGGAGTGAGGGTGTCATTCACATTTTCAGGGTGGACTTGTGGATCTGTGAGTCTGTCTGTATGCAGCTTCCTTAAACGGAGGAAAATGAGTTGTCATCTACACCGACATGTACCAAACTGAATAAAGAGGACTGGACTCACGCCCTGCCTGTGGCACCTGCTGCAGCAGTAGGGGACTGGTGAGCCAGCAGTGGCAATGGAAGGCCAGCAGTACAAGGTGGCAGCAGGAGCCCACAGAAAATGACCATTAGTTCCTGATATCCCTGTGGACCCTGGATGGAAGCCACACACCCCCTCCCAGGCCTGTACCCACCTAGACACTGACAAAATATTTTATTGGTCTCAAATACTATAATCAAAATCTAGACATAGGCATAATATCTGTGACAAGCTGTTGATATCTAATATATAAAGGCTACAGAGTGTTGTTAAAAATCTAAAGACTCCAATAGAAAAATGGATAAAGGGTAGGACAGTTCACAAGAGAAAATCCAGAGGACCACAAGCAAGCACACATAAATAAGACCCAGGATTCGCATGTTGGTGATAGGGAACGGGTTACCTGCCTAGGAGGCCTGTATGGTGCCAGATAAAGGGAAATTCTCAACCTGTGCCAGCTCCTGTAATTTGGCAAGAGACCACGCGAGGGCGCCAGGACACTGTGCTTTGCTTGGTGGCTGCTTGGTAGAAACGTGTGTACTAGTGCAGGGAGCTGGGGGCTGGGCTTACGCAGTGACATGCACACCTTGGGGTGTGCCCAGGTGCCCTGCAGCTGCCTCAGCTGATCCCTAAATGAACAAGTCATCCTCGTATTTTGGATAGGTTGTCAGCTTCTAGGGCTTCGACTACTGAAATGGCTACAGAAAAGACCTCTATTGCTGGGCACGAGTGTCTGATCCATTAGCCTCTTCTAAAACGCACACCCTTCAGTTTTTCCTATTGTTGTAAAAATCATCATCTTAGACCGAGTGTGGTACCGCATGCCAGTAATCCCAGCACTTGGGAGGCAGAGGCAGGAGAATCGCTGCGTTTGAGGCCAGTCTGGGCTATATAGTTCAAAGCCAGCCTGAACTGCATAGTGAGTCTCTCTCTCTCTCTCTCTCTCTCTCTCTCTCTCTCTCTCTCTCACACACACACACACACACACACACACACACACACACACACACTCACCTCTAGCAGCTTTCCCAGTGACCTTTGGTCTGCTCTCTAGGATGTCAGTGCAATTACATGTTTGACACTCCCCGTGTAAAACTTGATGTGGAGCCACTTATGACTCCATGCCTCATTTTACCACACTTATTTCCTTCTTCTGTTGACACTTCTTGTTCTTATCAGAGAATTAGATAAATCTTGTTATTTTTTAGTAATAGTAAAATATGTCTGGGTGAGCATCTTTCTAAATACTTGGCTTTAATATTTTAAAAATTAAATGTCTGATCTAGCTTACCTAAATTTAGCATTGTGCATGTCTTCCTTCTAGAATAATCTTTGGGAGGATTTTGATCCCTGAAAGTGTGATCATGAACAGATCTAATTCTGCCATGCCCACAGCCCTGAATGCATCCAGTCGGTTGAGGAGGGTAATAGCAAAAGGGTGTGGGATGTAGCTGCAGTCCCCACAACAGCCTCCCCCTTCTTGGTTGTTAGGTTTTCTAAATGTCAGGCATGACCAGGATTAAAATGGTAATTCTCCTGCAGGTGAGAACACAGATCAGTGTTTGGTAAGCCCTAAGTCAGTTTTACAAAACCCTAGATTGGAGTGGCCCCTGGCAAGAGGTCCTCTTACCCAAATCCTTTGAGTCTGACAGTTACCCCAACACACAGACTTGTCTGCACACTCACATGGACACACAGACCAAAAGCTCCCTGAGGTCAGGCTCAGTCTGGCTCTCAGGCTTGTCCATCCGAGCAACAGCTGGAGGACGTCACCTTTGGTGAGTCAAGCTCTTCTTGTTTGTATTGCACCTCAGGAGTGTATAGACCCCAAGTTTTCTGGGGCCCTGGTGCTATTGCTGCAGAGGGTGGGGTTCCCTGACTGGAAGTACTTCTACCCTTGCAGGAAAGTGGCTACTGCGGCTGAGGGGCAGGAGACAACCAGGCAGCACAGGTTCTAAAAGAGCAGAGTAGAAAGTATGGGTCATCATAGGGAACACAGTGAGACTGATGACCGGCAGAGGTTGTGTGGAGCAGGACTGGAGATTCCCCAGTGCGGGTGACAGCCAGAGAAGTTCTAGTAAATATCCTGGAGTAGGTATACCCTCTGACAGGAGTAGGGAAGATCCTAAAGCATCAAGAGATGGGAGCCAGGGTCTCACAAGCCTCCCAGGGGAAGAACATATACGGAGGAGAGGAAGGGCCAGGGTGTTGGGCAGGGAGTTGGATATTTCTGCAATGACCAGAGAATGGGCAAGGACATCCAAATAGAACCTCAGAGGTGCTTCCAGATGGTCAGGGATCTGAGTGGTGTGTGTGCAGTCTGTCAGAAATAGGGAAGAATTCCTACCACCATGGCACTATCTAGACATCTCCCTGCCATGCTAACCTTAGAAGTGCTAACGTCTGCCTTGTAGTATCAGAGTGGTCTGCTACTTCTTGCCGAGAGCTTGTTGGTCTCTGTTCCTGGCTGGGTCCCCCCTGTATGTTCACATTCTCTTCTCACCATGTTTAGTACCCCTGACACTACCAGTACCATCGCCCATCCCAATTAAAATCAGAAACCTGCCAGAGCTGCATGGCAGCCCAGCAGAAGGGCCAGGGAATGTCCTGGAGGACAGGTTAAACAGCAGCAGGCCATGGAAGTTTCCAGAACTGCCTCTGCCTTTCTATGCCCCAGTTCTGAGACCTTCATGGGAACAACTGGGTTGGTCCAGCTCCTCAGCAAATAAATTCTGTAAGTTGCTGCCACACTTTGCAGTGCTGTGCTGTTTACTAGAGGAAATAACACTGGACTTCTAAGTTTTCAGTTGTACATATTGATTCTTTTTTTTTTTTTTTTTTTTTCATACTGATTCTTTATGCATGGGTCCCAGGCCAGTGAGCTGTGAATGCAGATTTTTTTTTTTTTTTCTTTTGTACCAGGGATCGAACTCATGACTTCATGCTTGCCAGGCAGGTGCTGTGCCATGGAACTATATCCCCGTCCCTAAGATCATATTTTCTAAGTAAACTTGTTCTTTGTTCTTTTCTCTTTATTTATATTAGTGATACAGGGGAAGGAAGTTCCCAACCTACTAGATATCCAGTATGAGTTTGTATTTTCCAAAATTGAAGAATGAATTTTAGGGGGCTGGGGATTAAACACCTGCCTTGCAAGCAGGTGGTCCTGAGTTTGATCCCTGGTACAGATAAAAAAAAAAAAAAAAAAAAAAAAGAATGAATTTTAGGAACAATGAAAGTTAAAAGCAGAATATGTTTATTAGAGAAAGAAAGCTTTTGTCTGAGGGATACAGGAGTCCTGAGCGGATTGCTGAGGACCTTTCCTTTTCTAGGGATTTTTATAGAGCAAAACCATGAGGTGAGGTGGGTCCAAAGTGGGGAAAAATGCGAAATCACAAAGTGGCATGAGGCGGGACAGAACTATGGTCAACCAATAGGTTTACGAGTATCATTGCTCAGGCAATATTGATTAAGTGGGAATCAAATAGGGAAGCAAGTCACGTAGCAAGAGGCACGAAACACAACAGGGGCTTTTCTTAGAGGACATCGGGTTGTAGCGCTTCCTGGCTTTCTCAAGGTGATCCATACCTGATTAGAATATCAATCACTGTTGTTTATCCTTCTAGGAAACTATGGGGAAATATATGGGTGCCTTCGTTTTATCTTTTGTCTTAAGGCCTGACCCTCATTGGAGGAGTCTGTGTCCCCCACAACTGCAGTGTATCCGTGTTCTGCGCTGGCTCCTTTGAGGGTGGAGCACTGTCTGATTGCCTGTACTGTTTCTATCTTGCAGAGCTGTCTGTAACATTAGCACTTACGTATTACCTTAAAACTTTAAAATAATAATTAATTAAGTAATTTTAATATAGTCCAATGTGTATGAAAGACCTGAGGCCTATTTTTAATAATGTATTCTCTGTTGTGTGACAATGTCGGGGCTGTCACAGCATCTGTCCAGCCACTGATTGACCTCTTGAGGGGAAGGAGCAAGCTGATGCATTGGGTAGATGTGCTTATATTAAATGCAGCATTTTCTGGGGTTCCTGAAAACATCTTGTTGCATTTTCTCAGGTGGCATCAAAGGCTCCATTTACTACACCTCTGATAGACCATGGGAAGATTCCAGGGAGTCCACACGGCAAAATGAAACACAGCAAGGAGAGCTCGTCACAGGCGAGTGAAGAAATAAGGTTGGTTCAGTCCTTCCACAGCCATGTCCTGCTCACTGGCAGATGCTTTTATCTCGTAAGCATGTGCTGAGTGCTCTCATTTACAGAGGGACCTCAGGGTGGAAAGATGATTCTGAAAGACATGGTCCCTGTTCTCAGGACCTACCTTCTGGAGCCCCCACTGCCGGATGACAGCAGGACTCAGAAGGTTACACAGGCTCTATGCAGAATGCCTGCTGCTGACCCCACCCAGCCCAGTCTTCCCATCACCTTACTCTGTGGCTCCAAATTTCTTAGATCTGATCCTCTGATAAGGTGCTGGGCAAGGCTTCTGGGCCCTCAGTCACAGGAGAAACTGAATGGAAGAGAAACCAATGGGGCCGTGAGGCTGGGGTTCACCAAAGTGGAGAAGACAGTGACCATGGCCAGATCAAGAGGTCCCAGTAGAAGGCCAGCTTGTGGGCACTGAGATGCCCTAAGATTTGAGTCTCTGACCATGGTGACAGCTGAGAGACTAGATCAGGAGCTCAGGAGTGTAGGGAGGGATATCAGAGAAGAGTGGTGCCAACCAGGGAGGAGAGGAGAAATGTGAAACCCTGAATCGGGCCTTTAGGACACTAGGGATGCAGAACAGGGACTGAGAAGCCCCATGGGGTGGGAAGCCCACATTCTGCAACAGACTCTCAGGCCTGTTTCTGCCATCCTAAGTTATTATATGATAGTCAAAGATGCCAGCTCCCAAACCCTAAGCCCCAGTACTAACAGTCATGTTTAAAATCCTAGTGTGATACCATTTTGGTTGCTGTAAGTTGTGTTTTTCTTGTGAAAACAAAGACATGCTGTTTTCATGGCACAATGAGCAGCATCCTAAACATGGACTATTTCACATGGAGCTGAGGGTTTTAAAGTACAGAGTGTGGCCCTGCAGCTGTAACAGGTTCACAAGGAAGCCATAATTTGTTTTTCTGCTGAGAGACTCTGGTTTGAGCTCCATTGTCTAATGTTAAATAGCTACCAGCAGTGACTGAAGCCCCCTGTAGAAGAGTCATCCATGTACTCTGGTTCAAGCTGGCGGAATATCCAGCATCAGCGGAGGAAGGGAAAGGAGAACAGTAGGCCCAGGCCTTAGCATCTGGGGAGAGGGTGTGGTAGCCCAGGGGAGGTGTACGCAGCCCTCAGGACTACATGTGGTTTGGAGGAAAAAGAAAACTGAGTTTTCGGTTGAAATAGTACCTGCTAGGACTATATGCCTCATGTCCAAGCACATCGGACTGCTCTGTATCCTCAGTGCTTACCAAGTGGCAGCAGACCTGGAGGCAAAAATAAAGCAGCACATACAACAGGTGCATGCACATAGGAGCTTCCAGAGCATACCGGCGCTGCGCGAGATGAAGACAGCAACCCAGGACTTGGACATTGTGAGTATTTGTCAGCTCTGTTAAAGAACTTGTTTCATTAAGCCAGATGTGTGGTTCACATCTGTAATCCCAGCATTCAGGAAGGTGAGGCAGGTGATTCATGAGTTAGAAGCCAGCCTGGCTACATAGTTCCAGGCTAGCCTGGACTGCCTAACAAAGTCTTGTCTCAAAAAAGGAAAGGAGGGGCTGGAGGTTTAGCTCAGCGGCATAAGCGCCTGCCCTGCAAGCAGGCAGTGGTGTGTTCGATCCCCTGTACCGATTTTTAAAAAAAAAAAAAAAAAAAAAAGGGAAAGGAAAAACTAATTTGATTCATTAAAATGGAAGCACTTTATCTCTGCCTTTGTGGAGTGCATGCCAACCCTGGGTCTGTGTTTACTGTGTCCTGGCAGAGGGACATTTCAGAATTACTATTGGTTTGATGTCCAGAAAATAGCCCAGCTACACTGCAAGCCCTCAGATTGCTGCAATTTAACAGTATCCATGTCGGTATCTCATGGCCATAGCAGCCTAGGAACAAGGACAAGGACTGACCCCCATCACCATTTCTAGAGTCCTTGCTTGAAACTTTGCACTCAGGAGAGCAGGCTCAGGTCTAGGCCTTGAGGGTACTGCTGCAAAGACAGGTTGGCTGCAGCTGGGTGGACACTGACAATGTGCCCAGTGGCTCTGTAATAGGACGGCCACAACACTGGGATCCAATTGCTGCCCTAGAGGCTGCCTACACAGAGCTGTCCCTGAATCACTGCCCACCTAGCCACTGCTGGGTGATTAGAATTTGCCTAGCACTTACTGGGTGTTAAGCTGTCCTGACCTACGAGCAGCTTGGTGAGATGGGAGGGCCGTTTTCTGCCCTGCCTGGGACATGGCCAGCCCATCCTGCTGTTGTCAGAAAACAGCTGCCCTCCGGACAGTGACCACCTGGATACACGTGTCCCCTCCCAGTCACTCATATGGATCTACATGGTAGCCTGTTCTCCTAGGTCACCAGAGCCCTCGCCTGGAGGGCTGTTCCACATCAGTGTGCCCTATCCCACACAGCCACTCTTGAGACCCTGTGCCTGGGCCAGGCTGCTTCTGGGCCCATGTCCAGGCTAGAGTGAGCAGCACCAACATGGAGTAGGAAGTCTTCCCTGTCCATGTCTGTGTGCTCCCTCTTTTGTCTTCAGACCAACAAAAGAAAATGTTGATGAGGATGCAGAGCACTAACAATCCATAGCAGAGCCTAAGCCTCCAGCGCTGGACACTGTCCTCCTAGAAAAATCCTTCCCACTTGTTTTCATCTGCTGTCATCCGGGCCTTTGGCTTAGCAGTTGAACCTGTATCCTAACCACTCCAAAGCCAGCATATTTTACAGGAAGAGTGCCACCTGGGAGTACAAGGTTAAGGTCACAGAGAAAAATGCCAACAAGATGCAAAATGAAGGGGCTGGGGATTTAGCTCAGTGGCATAAGCACTTGTCTTGCAAGCAGGCGGTCGTGAGTTCAATCCCCGGTACCTATAAAAAGAAAAAAGAAAAAGTGTAAAAAAAAAAAAAGATGCAAAATGATTAGTTCCATAGCATCCAAACAACAAAGGAATATAAAACTAGGAAGAATGGAGTTGAAAGCTGAAAGTCTGTAGAAGGTCAGTTAGGTCCCCAGGTTAGTCTGTTGGCTCCACTGGCCTACCCAGTGGGTTTTTCCCCTCCTTAGAGAAATAGTGACCAAGTGCCAAAGGCATTGTAACAGTGGTCACATGTTACCCTCCTGAGCCCTGAGAAAGGGACCTGTCCAGGCCAATGTGTTCAGGTTGCTGTAAGGACTGGCACATCCTCTCCAGCCCTCTCAGCTGGTCAGAGCAGCAGCGACATGGGTGTCCACAGGAACAGCTCTGCGCTGAGTAACCAGCAGTGGCCCACCTGCCAGTATCCGTAAACGGTGTCTGTTCATGGTCTCAGGGCTCATCCCCAGCAGATGTGGAGCTAGAAAGCACTGGTCTTTGGGGAGAGCCCTGCTCTGAAGGAGTGGTCTCAGCAAACCAGCTGGAAAAGTGAGCTTCAGATATTGAAGACAAAATTAGAAATTACAAGTTAGCATTAAAATCCTCTGGGTGATAATAGAAAATATTGCTACTGTGAAACACAACAAGCTGTTATAAAAACCGAATATGCAAGAATTCTTGGAGGTAAATTAAAAAGATGATATATATTTTTTTAATTTAGCTGGGTGCAGTGGTACATACCTGTAATCCCAGCACTTGAGAGGTTGAGGGAAGAGGATCACAAGGGCTAGTCTTAGCTACATAGCAAGACCCTGTCTCAAAACAAAACGATTTTTTAAAAAAATCAATGAGGGGCTGGGGATTTAGCAGCATAAGCGCCTGCCTTGCAAGCAAGCAGTCGTGAGTTCGATCCCTGGTTCCGATGAAAAGGAAAAAGACAAAAAAAAAAATCAATGAGAAGATTGATCCAAGCATCCACAAACAGATATTCAAGAGAGGTTCTAGAGGAATGAAGGAAGGCATTAGTTAAGAAAGAAAGAAAGTTTTCCACAATTTGTGGTTCTAGGCTGAGAAGTCCACCATGGCCCAGCATCATGACTAAGGCAGGTAACATTGCTGAGATCAGACGTCCATTGTCAGGGGTCAGTTCAGGATAAATGCATTTGCAGATATGCAAACACTCAAAAGTGTTGCTTTCCATGCAGCATTTCTCTGAGAAATTCATTCTGTTAAGCGAGGAGTTGGGGTAAGTGGTGCAGGAAAATGGAGTCCAGGCTGCCTGATGGCAGGACTGGAGCCCACCCGGCTGAGGTCCATCCCAGAGAGACAAAATCTGACCAGGAGAGGAGAAACATTATGGGATTTTATAGTGTGGGAGGATGAATGACAGGGACGTAGGAAAAAATAAAATTTCTAAAAGGAGGCAATGATTACTTACACGTACACCCCCCAAAAATCCATACACATTAATTTTTACATAAAGGAAAATAATGGACGCATACTTACTAAGTCAGCAGCGAACAGGGTTTCCCTAACCTCGGTGACATAAACCTGGATGACACTGGACCCCCGGATTGTGCCATAACTGCATTAGGAAGAGGTGGTTGTAAGAGCCTCAGGAATCCTGGGCAGGAGGTAGAGGTCCAGCTGTGCCCCTGGGCAGACGAAAGGAAGAAAGGAGTTTAAACAAGTGGGATGGCCCTGGGGCTCCTCTCATGGGGTGGGAAAGAGGGGGCCCTACAGATCCAGGTACCCCATGCAGAACTAGAAGAAACTGTTCCTGAGTAGCCGCTGACTTCAGTCATGTGTAATGGCAGTGCTTCCTCTTATTCTATCTCCTTCTGGCCAGCAGAAGGACTGTGAACATGGATTGTAGAACAGAAAGCGGGCACCGGAGCCCAGTATGGCACGTTCCTTTCTCTGGTGGGAATATGCTGGTCCTTGGTTTCTGTGTCCATGGTTCCCTCTGCCCAGGCTTCAGGGTGGGACCACGAATGTGGTGGTTCACCTGAGATTGGAACCAGTTTCAGCCGGATTCTCTGTTAGCCCATTCATTCAGATCACCATCTGCACGGGACACCTGTGTGGGCCCATTGGGAACACTGACATGAGTGGCCGGCACAGTTCACAGCCTCATGTGAAGGGACAGCAGGAGAGCTGACTGGAGAAGGTGGCACAGGCCTCATCTCAGAGCGAGCTGTACTGTGACTCAGGCCACTGGATGCCCTGAGGTTGGGGCTGGCTCCGCTCACCCTTAGGACCCCTGCTCTGCAGGAGTTCATCTGAACCTGTTGGAGACAGCGTGGAAACTCCTGCCTTTCTCACTGTCCCTCCCCTCTTCTCTCCAAAGGCAAAGAAGCTGCAAGATGAAGTAATGAAACTGAAATTGGAATTGAACAAAGACAATCCATTTGCAAATCTCACAGGAAGTCTTTCACTTCACCTACCACCAACACAACCTCAAAACATATTTTTTAACACGAAATATTAAGAAGATGTTTGTGGTATCGGTGTCAAGGTCCTTCAAGCATGAGGAAGCGGCTCACTGCTTGTGTGGTGGTGGGGACTAGGGTTAGGACATTCAGTGTTTCTATGACTTACTTCACAGGCAGCCCTTTGTTGTTTTTATGTAAACCTGCATTCCTTTTCTGGGGCTGTGAAAGTTTTAAGCTGCATTAAAAGAATGAGAATATTGCAGGCACACCACACTGTTTTCATTTCTGTCACCATCCTTTTCTGCCAGTCCTGCTGGTGGAGGGTCATTTGAAAGTCAAAACCAGTCCCTCTCTTTCCTCCCTACCCCATGCGACCCTAGTCACAAATATAATCATAGTTTTCATTAACCTATTCATTTTAGGGTAGGAATCTAGTTTGCCTGATTTCTTGCCGCAGTTGTCCACGGTGTTTGCCCTGGCACTTGACCCTGCAACAGCACAGTGAATTCAGCCCAGGCAGCCTCCGGCCTGCACGGCCCAGACCCTCCCCTGGCCGAGCAGGCCTGTATGAACCTCCTTCCCGTCCAGGCTGTTCTGGGGCTGTGCAGCCTCGGTCCTTGGGCTGAATGTTAAATAAGAGTATTAAAGAAGGGCTCTGTCCTGAACACACCTTTAACAGATACAGGGCTTTTCAGACTTTCTTTCCTTTTGTGTCAACTTTAAGAAATTCTTTTTCAAAGATTTTTTTCCATTTCATTGAAACTGTCAAATACGTATTAGCATAAAGTTCTTTATAAAATTCTCCATTATCAGTCTTGCTAGGGATTTATCCATATTTTTTAGTCATTTTTAAAAATAGCAATTTTTGGCTTCATTGAATTTATCATGTATATTTTCTATTTCACTGATTTCTCTCTTTACATTTCCTTCTTTCTTACAGTTTATTTGGTGCCTAGAGAGAAACTTATCCTTTTAAGCCCATGTGTATGATCAGTGCTCTAAACTCCCAATTCAGGAAGCTAGAAAATACATTAGTCCAAAACTTTATCAGCTAGAACACCACATATTTCTCACCCGGTATTTGAGGGTCACACATTGGGAGCAGCTTAGTTGCTGCCGCTGCTTGGGATCTTTTGAGAACTGAAGCCAAGCTGCCAGTCGGGCTGTGCTTACTGAAGGCCCAGCTGGGGCAGAGGCCCTGAGTCTGTGTCCCTGGGCTGGGTATTGATGAGAGAACACTTCCTCTGTGATCCCAGTCCTTTGAAATCTGTGAGGGCTTATATTACAGCTTGCTTGTTGTATGATGTATTTAGTGAATGTTCCATGTGCATCCAAGGAGAATGTATTTTTGTCATTTGCAGTGATGGTCTGTAAATGTCAAGTGAAGGTGACAAATTATATTGCTCAGATCTCCTGTATTCTTAACGATATAAGTTGTTTTTTAGTATTTCTTTGTACTATCTTTATTGTTCAAATGGCAATTAGTTCACGTAGCTTTTTTTATATCTGAAAATAAATTTAGTTTGCCTTTATTTCTGCTTAGAATTCCAGATTAACAGTTTTTGTCACCTCCAAAGTTTTAAAAATCATATTCCACTGTCTTCTGGCCTATTGGTTTTGTTAAAAATTCAAATTTTGTCATATTGTTGCTACTTTGAAGGTACTGTATCCCTACCACCGCCATGCCAGCTCTGGGGATTGAACTCAGGGCCTTTTTAATGAGCTGTGTGGGTTTCAGGGACTAAGTTACCCAGGCTGGACTCAAATATGTAGTTTCTTGCCTCAGCCTCCCAGAGTACTAGGATTATAGATGTGTGCTACCACACCCAGCTGTTTCTAGTGTTCTTAAAATTTTTATCTTATCTTTGATTTTGTAGTCTGTCTTAGGCCTAAATGTGATTTTCTTTTTACTTATCCTTGGAATATGCAGAACTTCTGAATCTGAGTTTTTTTCTATTCTCTTGTTCCTTCCTGGGACTGTAGTATTACTGGCAGAAAAACCAATGAGATGTTTTTTTGTGTGTTGGGGGGTGGTTTTCTGTCATCCTTTTGAAACAGGGTTTCACTGTGCAGTTGAACTCACTTTGTAGCCCAGGCTTGTCTTGAATTCACAGTGGTCCTCCTGCCTCAGCCTCCCAAGTGCTGTTCAATTAAGTTTTTAAACATCAAAAGGTTAGGATTTGTGCATGGTGTATCTCAGTGCTACAGCTCTTGCCTAGCATGTACAGTAAGGCCCTGCATTCTATCCCAGAATACTTTGCCTAGAGGCACCTGCAGGGGACACAGGCGCAGAGTGGTGCATGCCGTTAGCCACTGTTTTCCAGCTGTTTCTGCCAACCACTCATGACATCTCCCACCACTCCCCACTGCTACCCAACACCTCACCCTTCTATAGCAGAGCCTGAACCCCTGGGGGAGTCCCCCTTCCTAAGGTGGCTAGGCAGAAAAGATACCTCTAATGCACCAAGGAGAGAGACCATCCCACATCGGTAGCCTGAATGCACCAGGGAGAGGGGGAACCCCCACCCACTGCACATCCACAGAATCCAAGGGTGTAGGAGCCAGGGGTAGCGAATTGGCTGGTGGCAAAGCCCAGTCAGGGGTCAGCCAGGTTAGGATGGCTGAGTCAGGGGGCCAGGGCTTCCAAAATGTTCTCTCTACAAGCTTGTGAGCATCTTCCAAGCAGGGCTCAAGAGTAATGGTTTGTCACAGTGGAATGAAATAGAATAGAGCAGAGAAAGGGCAGAGGGAGACATTCTAAAGGCCTCATCTGAAAGGAAGGAAGAAAAGGAAGTGGAGTAAAAGGATTAGAATGAGGAAAAGTAGCTGTTAGATAATTTTCAAAAATAGTTACTTGCGTATGAGAGAATGTAAAGGGAACGTAACAAATAGAATAAAACAATATGAACTTCAGATGGAAAGGTAATAGAATAATGAATAGCAATTTGATCAAAACAAATACAAAGATGAAAGCAGCAGGATCAAGCACATAAGTTACTAAAAGTACAAACAAGCTTGCTACGATCCAATCTTAAAGCACAGTGAATTTTAAAGACATTTCAGTGAGTTGAGTTTGGCTTGGGGCAGGAGAAAGGGGGAGCACCTGTTCCTGTAGTGAGTGAAACCAAGGACCCTGGGAGGAAGAGGGATTGGGAAGGCCTCATGGTAAGGCAAGTGGATGTAGACCTTGGCTTTGCTGCACAAGTGGTCAGAACATTGGAGCATTGGAGCCCTGAGGGAGGTCCCAGAGCCGCCCACAGGCACATCTGGTCTCCTTGAGTTATGTGCTGAGTCTGGCAGCAGCAAGGCGTGGCGGGGAGCAGGTTCAGTCTCTGGCTGCCTGGCAGTGGGGGGAAGTACCCTGCAGAAGGAGGGGACAGCAGAAGTGTGGCAGGTCTTGTTGAGACTTTTGAATGCAGTGGTAAACTGAGTCTGCCTGAAATGGCAACCCAGCTTCATCTACCCAGCTCAAGCCCTTGACAGGATTAAAGCTTAGAAAACAAAAATCTTCACCATTTCCTGCTAAGCAGAGGAGAGGACTGGTCTTCTCGGGAAAATGACCTCATCTGCAGTTTCTGTGGTCTGCTTATTTGTTCATATGCAATGTTTGGCACACACTAAAAAATTCTGAGACGGGTGATATGTTATAGAAAATAAAGGAAAAGAAATATGAAGTAGATGATGAGGTAGAGAATTTTAACAGGAAATTGACATCTATAAAAAATATCAAATTGGGGCTGGGGATTTAGCTCAGTGGCATAAGTGCCTGCCTTGCAAGCAGGCAGTCGTGAGTTCGATCCCTGGTACCGATAAAAAGGAAAAAGACCAAAAAAAGAAAAAAAAAAAAAAAAACCAAATAGATATCCTAGAACTAAAAGTAGAGTATATGAAATTTAAAACTCATTGAAAATAAGATATTTATTTTTCAAAAACCATTATGATCTAGTGGAAAAAATGAACACCATACATTAATAGACTTGGAACTTCAGCAGAGAAATGGGTACTATAAAAATGAGTTCAGGGGGCTTTAGCTCAATGGCATAAGCGCCTGCCTTCCAAGCAGGCAGTGGTGAGTTCGATCCCCCGTACCGATAAAAATGAAAAAGACAAAAAAAAAAAAGAGTTCAGTGGAAATGTTAGAAATAAAATCAGGGTATCAGAAATGAAGAATTCCTCAATGGGATAATCAGTAACTTGACTCAGCTGAGGAAAGACAGTTGTTCCAAGTGTCCAGTGTGCTTCTAAATTCTTCAGTACAGTTGCCACAAACGCTGTATTTAGCTCACATTGTCTTTTTCCCTACAATAAAGCCTGATTTCCCATCCCAGCACACAGCTGTCACAGGGCCAGGACAGTAGGATCCAAATAAACAACTGTCCTTTCCCTGCCTCTAGGCCATGACAAAGGACAGGCTAGGGATGCCATCTCAGAATGACAAAACAGTCAGAAAAATGTCCTTCTTCCTGCCTGATAAGGGAAGCTCCCTTGCACTTCATGTTCCTGGGTTCCTCATGTGAGTGTCAGGAAGGAGGGCCACACTCACGGCTGAGAGGGCAGCCCAGCCCAGAGGAGGACCACTTGAAACCCCAAGATACCACCCAGATGTCAAAAGGACACAGCAGAGAGCCTGACATGGATCCTGAGACACGTCCCAAGGTAGAGCAAATCCCAACTCATGCAGCCCCTGTGACAAACATGACCAGAGAGGCGGGGCTCTCAAGTGGGCATGGGGTGGCCCCTGAACCTGACAGCAAGGTGCTGAGTCTATTTTGGGCAGGCCCACTGGCAACAGTGCTCCTGTCTTCCCTCTGGTGGCCAGGAAGAAACTAGGTGCTTTGCCAGCCCTTGGCAGAGTGAGCCTGATGCAGAAGGCACAGAAGCAAGCAGTCTCACTGAGTCAGGTTGGAATTGTAGCCTGCATCTCCTCAAGTGCAGAAAGTCACATTTCTGGGCTGTGGTGAGGTGGGCTCCAGGGAGAATTTCAGCTTAGGGGGTGTGGGGCAGAGCTGAGGGAGAAAGCCTTGCCTCAGCAGGAGACCACCAGCCTCTTCCAGGTGGAGCCAGCAGGTGGCCTCAGAGCTGAGTGAAGGGCTGTATGCCCCTCCCCGCTGGCTGCAGATCTGAGAACCTTCCTGGCCTATCCACTGTGAGCTCCCGAGGTTTCTCAATATAGGTGGAGGCTCAGCTTCCAGTGAAGCAGCCTGGTTTGGTTAAAAGGATGAGGATGAATGGAGGTGGGGAGCCTTCTTCCAACAGTGATAAGATGGACCCAGCACAGCCGTCTCCTTGGCAGGCCAGCACCTAGCAAAGTCCACAGGCTTCTCTGGGATCCCTGAGCATTACAGACGGGGGCAGGTGCAGGGCTACGCCTGCTGAGAAGAGTTGAGAGAAACCCCACTAGGTGTAGACAACAGGGTCTGCAGAAACACCATTGCCTAGATTTTTTTCTCCATCTGGAAGAAGCACCATGCCTTACCTGCCCATGGATGCTGCCACACCTGCTGCCCACCTGGCACCCTGGATGCTGGTCAGGAACCTGCCCTTGAAGTGGGAATCAAGAGCAAGAAGTGTGATTGTGCCCCTGAAAGCTGGAGTATGAAAATATTTATGTACTCCAGGTTTTTCTTTAACAGTCCCCAGATATGCATGGCAAAACTAGTTTAATTGTGAAATATCACAAGGTTTTTAGCAAAGGAGTCCCAAATTTTATAGAAAGAGGGAAAAGAAAGAGGGGGGGGGAATAGGAATTCTCCTGATAGAATTTTCGGCGCAGCTAAAAAGATAAGAAATATGAAATAAAAGTGGCCTTTAAGAATGCGGAGAGAGACTCCATGACCTCCGGGATCTGGCATTTTCTTTGCCCGACACGTGGTGTGGGGGCATACATATAGCTTAGGTTTGGGGTGTGCCTAAGGGGCATTACTGATGCACAGGTAGCCCACTGGAACTCATTTCCAACCACAGGTAAATTGCGTGGGGGTGGGAAAGGTGACCTCAAGATAGAGCCCCTTGGTTTCGCCTCCCAGCCTCCCACTGCTGCAGCCTCCCATCCAGAGCAAAATCTTTTCATCTCTATCCTTTTTTCTGGAATATGAAGGGTTAATGTCCAACCAGGTAAAACAAGGATTCAGACAGTGTGTGTAAGCTGAAAACACCTTTGGAGGAGAGAGTTCCAAATGCCTGTGGAGTAACCGAGAGCTCAGCCACTATTCTCAGTGACCCAAAGCCAGTTTGGTGTGTTTGGCATGAGTTGCTCATGGAGAACATGCTCGTCATGGAGAATAGACTAATGAGAGAAACAGGCCACTGAAAAAGGACACAAGTCACTTTTCTTTTTGAAGCCAAAGCAATCATTAAGAGGCTTCTTGAAAAAAACAAAGGCAAGGGGGGGGGGATTTAGCTCAGCCGCATAAGCGCCTGCCTTGCAAGCAAGCAGTCACGAGTTCAATCCCTGGTACCGATAAAAATGAAAAAGACCAAAAAAAAAAAAAAAAAAAAACACAAATAGAGGCTTCTTGGATCTCAGCCTGGAGGAGGTTCAAGAGCCCTGCTGCCCATGGGGGCTTCTCAGGATGCAGGGTGAGGATACAGGGCAGCTCTCTGCAAGCACTCATCTCCCAGTCTAGGCAGCAACTTCCAATGACTTCAGCCAAATACCCGCAGGGGTGGATACACAGGGCATGTGGGTGTAGGTTTGCTTCTCCAACCCAGCCCTGACCAATTCAGGGCCTTAGGGTATGGGATGGACACAGCTATAGGAAAAAACCTATAGCTGTGATGGAGATGTGAGGGCTATTAAAATCGTGATGGTAGTGAGAGTGAATGTAGAGGCAGTGGTGGTGACGCTGCTGCTGCTGCTGGTAGTGGTGGCAATGGTGATAGTGTAGATGGTGGTAGTGGTGACAGTAATGGCAGCTGATTTTTGCAGATCCTTGCCGGGAGCTGGTGCTATGATAAAAATCCCATGAAAATGACTCAGTCTGCGCTACAAGCCTATATGGTAAGGAGCATCATTAGTCCCACCTTTTTTGTCTTTTTTTTATCGGTACTGGGATCAAACTCCAACCACACACTTGCAAGGCAGGCGCTTATGCTGCTGAGCTAAATCCCCAGCCCCTTTTTCAAAAAAAAAAAAAAAATTTTTTTTTATCGGTACCAGGGATCGAACTCATGACCAAAGGCAGGCATTTTTGTCTCTGAGCTAAATCCCAGCCCCTCATTAGTCCCATTTTATAGCTGAGGAGAAACGATAATAAAATTTCAAAGCATGTCAATCAGGGGGTAACAATGGTACATACATTGAGCACTGTCATCCCCAAATCACTTACCCAGAGCATAAGACATCTGCTGTCAATTGCCCGAACAATACCAGTACAAATCTTTTAGTAAACTCACAGAAATCAGTAGTATAACTAGCTTAACTATATAATTTACATTAGTTTGTCACACTAATGAAACAACACAATGTTTATACATGTGTCTTATTTATTTCACTGAGTGTATTCTCAAGGTGCATCCATTTACCTATAAAAGTGTCCAGTTTATTATTCTTTATGGCTGAATAGTACACCATTGTACAAAATACCACATCTTTTTTATTTACCCCTCGGTCAATGGGCATTTAGGTGGGTCCAAGATCTGGCTATTATAAACTGTGTTGCTACTGGTTTCCTTTTAAAATACCTTGGGGAGAGGTCTGGTGTGCTTATGCACCTCACTCTACCCTGCACCCATGACGGCTGCTTACTGAAGATGACCTTCCAACTGCCGTAGCATGAAGCCTGTTAGAAGGCAGCAGTGGGGGCCTAAGTATCAGGGCCCCACCCCATTTCACTTCTGGGGACAGACTCCTGGGAGAATCCATGTTCTCCAGTACATGGCTATGGCCCGTGAGGCCTCTACACTGATTCTGTCTCAAAAACACTCCTCTGACAAAGTCAGGCTGCCTGGCAGGGCACCCACTCAGCCGGCAGGTTTGGGGTGTGTGTGTGTGTTTGCATATATTTCACAGGTCTGCAACCCAGGGACAGGCCAGTGGTCATGGTAGCATCGCCACAGTCTTGGGGAAACCCCTGTGAGTCCCCTGTCTTCTGGGAGAGACTAAGGCTAGCTATGTAGCGTAGTCAGTGAGACTCTGAATGGACCAATGCTGGCTGGGTCTTAGCTGAGGTGTTCAAGAAAGGGCTGTTTGAGCCGGGATCTGAAGAATGAGTCACTCTGCCAGATGGAGGGACAGGCACAGGACTGGTGAGTAGTGGCCAGGCTACTGAGGGCAAATTCTGGAGCAGAGACCAGGGCCCAGAGGGAGACACCCTGCCACCAGCCTTCCTTTACTGTTTTCTGGAGAGAACACTTTTTTTTGTCTTTTTCCTTTTTATCGGTACCAGGGATAGAACTCACAACTGCCTGCTTGCAAAGCAGGTGCTTATGCCACTGAGCTAAATCCCTAGCCCCCAAGAACACTCATGACCTTGTACTTGCCAGGCCGGCACTTAGGCCACTGAGCTAAATCCCTGGCCTGGAAAGAACACTGAAACCCCTCTTCCACCATTACAGCCTAATCTTGGACACCTCTACTGCCCAGCTCCTAAATGGTCACCTTGCTCAGGTCTCAATAAGAGCCCCATATGGTCTCCTGGGCACTTCCACTTTGCTCCCATTTGACCCTCTAGGGCCAGCCCTGGAGAGGCAATGCCCTGGTGCTTCCCAGGCCCACCAAGGTGGTGCCTGCAGCCAGGGGGCTAAAGGCTTCAGGGACTTAAGTGTGCTGAAGTCAAAGCCTGGAGACCAATGAGGGGAAATTACAGTGGAAGGGGCATTCTGCAAGCTTCTCTCCAGCTCAAATCAGGTAGCCCACGTACCCCAGGCTTTCTTCCCAGGATGGGCCAGCAGGAGCAGGGGACTTTGGAGGATGCTCCCAGCAGTGAGCACATAGGCCGGGCTTGCCCAACCTGGGAGGGCAAGTAGAGAGAGGAACCTGGGGCACCAGGTTTGACTCAAGTGGCCTTGGGTCATCTACATTTGAATCAGATTCCGGAAACCCCCATAGCCTTCTAGAAATAAGAAAGGAGGGAGCCAGTAGGGGGCCGTGGGCAGGACTGATGCTGAAAGGTCACTATTTAAATTGCAAACCATCTATCTCCCTGTCTGCTGTCTTTCTAAAATATTCTACCTAGTGGACAGTTTTAAAAAATGACTTTTAAATTCATTTAAAAATACACAACACCTAACACAAACCAGCCAGCAGAGGCTTCTTCCTGGTTTCTTCCCTTCTCTGCTTTGACCACCAGCCTGGGAGCTTCCGGCTGCCTGCCTCAGGCCCTCAGGAATCCCAAGGACTTCCACGCCTCCACACCCCGGCCCCTCCCCAGCCCTTGCTAGTCCTTAGGTGTGTCCTCTACCACACCCAAAATTGCTCTTTCAGCTGACACCTGGAGAGTTATTAGGAAGCACATTCCTCACAACAGGCCAATAGCATTCAGAGGCATTCATTCTGTCCATCCCACCCTCTAACAAACTTGCACTCTCCAACTGTTAGGCCCCCCTCTGCTATCTGGGTACCCTGTTTGGTCACTTGTTTATTCAAACATCTCCCCACACTCCTCCTGTGCTGCACTCTCCATACGCAGGGCCTCTGCCTGGACATCCCCAGTCCC